TAAAAATACAAAAATTAGCTGGGTGTGGTGGCACATGCCTGTAATCCCAGCTACTCAGGAAGCTGACGCAGGAGAATTGCTTGAACCCGGGAGGCAGAGACTGCAGTGAGCCGGGATGGTGCCACTGCACTCCAGCCTGGTGACAGAGCAAGATTCCATCTCAAAAACAAAACAAAAAAAAAAGAAAAAAAATTAAAGATATCTGGTTTGGTAGCTTGAGAGCCTGTTTATGGGAAATGACAGACTTGAACACTTATAATTGGGCTTGATGGGAGGTGTCTATGAACAGCACAGAAATGTTTCTGGAACTGACACACTTCCAGCTCGGCAGATTCAACATCTACTATGGCAGAGGTTGCAGTGAGCCGAGATTGCACCATTGCACTCCAACCTGGGTGACAGAGCAACCCTGTCTCAAAAAAAAAAAAAAGTAAAATAAATAAATAAGAGAACAACCCCCAGCTGACAGCCAGCAAAGAAACAAATCTCAGAATTAGTCTGCCAACACCCTGAATAAGCTTGAAAATGGATTCCTCCCAGAGTCTTCCAGTAAGAGCCCTGTTGGCCCACACCTTGACTTCAGTCTTTGAAATCCAGATCAAAGAAACCAATCAAGCCAATCCAGACTTCTGACCTAAAGAACTGGGAGATAACAAATTTGTGTTGTTTCAAGCTGCTAAATGTTTGTGAGAATCTGTTTTGGCATCAACAGAAAATTAATACATTATTGACACCAGAAACATCAGAAACAGACCAGTTGTGGTGGCTCATGCCTACAATTCCAGCACTTTGGGAGGCTGAGGTGGGCAAATCATTTGAGGTCGAGTTTGAAACCAACCTGGCCAACATGGTGAAATCCCATCTCTACTAAAAATACAAAAATTAGCCAGGCGTGGTGGCACACCTTAATCCCAGCTATTCAGGAGGCTGGGGCAAGATAACCACTCAAACCCAAGAGGCAGAGGTTGCAGTGAGCCAAGACCGTGCCATTGAATTCCAACCTGAGCGACAGAGTAAGACTCTCTCAAAAAAACAAAACAAACAAACCCAGAAACTTAAGTACATCATACATTCTTACATATTTATTCACCTGTATTCAAACTTAAGGCACTCTGTATGAAGCTACATTTCCTCATTCTATCTTTGCCTGAACCTTGATTTGATGGTTTCTGAAATTTTTAAATTAGAAATGTATTTCCATTTAATAGTTATTTGTCTGAAGCCTCGCAAAGCCATTGGAAAGAAAGGCAAAAGTAAGAAACAAAACCTCACCAGGGCTTTTATGGTTTTCTTCGGTTCTTAGGAAAAGGCTATCATTTCTAAGGTATGATCTAGCTGTTGTCTTTTCTGATTCTGAACATCTGACAAAAGATCTCTTATCAAGAGTAAAGGAGACATTTCAGAGAGAGGCCCAGCTTTTAGAATTGTGACAATTACTCAATTTCCCTCCCTTAATGAAGGACAACTTTTTAAAAATACAAAGCTGGCCAGGTGTGGTGGCTCACACCTGTAATCCCAGCACTATGGGAGGCCGAGGTGGGCGGATCACAAGGTCAGGAGTTCGAGACCAGACTGGCCAACACGGTGAAACCCTGTCTCTACTAAAATACAAAAAAAAAAAAAAAAAAAAAATTCAGCCAGGTGTGGTGGTGGGCACCTGTAATCCCAGCTACTCAGGAGACTGAGGCAGGAGAATCACTTGAAACTGGAAGGCAGAGGTTGCAGTGAGCCACGATCATGCCACTGCACTCCAGCCTGGACAAAAGAACAAAACTCCGTCTCAAAAAAACAAAAAACAAAAACAAAAACAAACAAAAAACAACAAAGCTAGGGTTGGAAAAAAGCCTTCGGAGGGCAGACTAATCAGCACCAATGAGGAATTTCCAGTTCTTTACCTCCACCCCTAAATACAGATACAGAGCAAGGCAATGAGAACCTGGACTATCTTCTCCCTTGCATGGGATCACAGTCATGCAAGTTCTGGTGGGAGAGCTGACAATGAACTTCTACTCTGAGGTCTGACAGGTTCTAGAATCTACAGACCCAAGTTCTAAACTGGGAATCAAGACAAAGTGGATGGAATCTATAAATCTGTACACCAGGAGTTGTAAGTTTTTAAGTGTGTCAAATTTCTTTATACATAAATCATCTTCCCACTTGTAACAAAAGTTCTATTTAAAAGTTGCTGACTTAGTCCTCAAAGCACTGCACTGTAGACACTGTTCTAGAAACTTTCTGTTAACAGTGATGCAGTTAATAGGCCAGTTCTGGACACCCCATAGGACACACAGACACTTACACACCTAAAAAAGTTTCATCTGGCGTGTAAAAGGAGAGTCAGCTGAGTAAGGTTAAGTAAGACCCATGCCCTAAGTGCCCTCCCCAGCCTCCAATATGGGATCCATCTGGCCCATGATGGCAGGAAGAACAAGGGCAAACATGTCCCACACAACAACGGGATTCTGTAGGGCTGCTTCCCACCTCAGCCACACAGCAGGGCAGACTCACCATGAACTGACTGGGTCTGACCCACCAAAGTCTGTCCCGGCCAAAGCAGAACTGCCAGATGAGCTCAGACTTAATATGCCCAAGGCCAATTCCCTCATAATGCTGCCCCAGCAAGCACTGCCTAAGGTTCTGACTGTTACCCTCTTCAACTGCCCTGAAACCCAGATAGAATTCACTCATGTGGAGAAAAATGGCCAAAGGCAGATGTGTGACAGAAACCCCTACAGGGGCTAAACAGTCAGGACACACCGGCCGCTACCTAGAGTAACAGTTGTTAGGCCTCCTAACTATACTTCCCAGAAACCTCAACAGCCCAGCACAGGTGTCTCAGGCACTGCCCATGGCCAAACTACACTTCCTAGGAAGCTCAGCAGCCCTGCTCAGAAGCCTCAGTTCCCAGAAAAGGCAAACAGGGGCAAAACACTGGGTAGACTACGCTCCACAAATTCAGCTGAGCTTGCTTCTGCCTCCCAGGGAACCTGGTTTCGACTGCTGGCAACTGCTTCCTTCTGGTGCCTCCCTGGGAGGATGAACATCCTAGGGGCATTGGCTCCTGTGCCTACACTGAGCTTCATCTACCTCTTGTTCAGGTGGGGGGAACCCATCAGTAAATTATAATCTTTATAATCCACTTGATTCATATGGGACATTTATAGCAGCTGTTTCTAACATCCTTTTCTGCTATCAGTGTGTCACTTCTGGGTCTCTACTGACTTTTCTTCATGTTAGGGGGTTATATTTTCCTGCTTCTTTGCACACCTGGGTAAGTTTTGATTGGATGCCAGACATGGCCAATTACTGACTGATACACTGCTTTCTATTTCTTTATTAGTCTCTGTCTGGAAAACTGCTAAATTACTTGGAAAGTTTGGCCTTTTCGTGGATTGCATGTATGCTTTCTAAGGAGGGTTCCAGTCAGCCTCTACCGTACAGCAAATCTGAGCCACCCACAGAGGCAATACTTCTTACTTAAGGTCCACTGTGATTCTCCAAATGTTAAGAGGCATTTCCATTCCAGCTGGTGGAAATGCCAATTACTCCCAACCTTGTGTATAATCCAAGGATTTTTCTGCATGTTCATTTCTTCCTGTTCTTCCTCCAGCCTACGAGGGTTTTCCTCACATACATGTGCTGATTATGACTCAAAGGCTTGTGGGGGAAACTCAATAGAACTCTCAATTCCTGAGTGCAGCTCTTCTCCAGTAATCCAACTCATGAATTTGGGTCACCTTGAATTCCTCAAACCCTAAACTCTGTCTCAATTCAGAAAGATGGCTGGGATCTGCTTGGCTTTCTCCTCTCATCGCTGCAGACTGGAAACTTTCTCCAGGCACTAAGCTGGGGCAATCATAAGGCTCATTTCATTGTTTCCTTTCTCTCATGGAAAGCCATCCTGAGCCCTTCACTTCCCAATGTCTGATGAAGTTCATTCATACATTTTGTGTATCTTTTTTAGACATTTAAGGCAGGAGATTATATACATTAGACATTTACTATAAAAGAAAAAGGGACTGTTGGAGTTGGCTATGAAAAAGATTAGTCAATATCCAGGTGCATTATGTCATATGCATTCCATACTCATAATAAGGCATGTTAGTTCCACCCCCCCCCCCAACCTTTTTTTAGAAACAGAGTCTTGTCACTCAGGCTGGAGTGCAGTGACACGATCATAGCTCACTGCAGCCTAGAACTCCTGGGCTCAAGCAATCCTCTTGCCTCAGCCTCCCAAGTAGCTGGAACTATGGGCACACACCACCATGTCCAGCTATTATTTATTTTTATTTTTATTTTTTGTAGAGATAGAGTCTCACTATGTTGCCCAGGGTGGTCTCAAATTCCTGGGCTCAAGTGATCATCCTGCCTTGGCCCCCCAAAGTGCTGAGATTACAGGTGTGAGCCACCATGCCTGGCCGGGTATGTTAATTTATGTAATTTCGGAATAGATACAAATTTATGTTTAGCAACATTTCAAGCATCATAAATCTCATGTTCTTTCTGGACATTTAGGAGTTATTTTCCATGCTGATGCGATTTTAACATTTCAAGAGCATCTACAATGTTCACATATAACAATCATAGCGTAAGATTCTGTGGTTATGGAGTAAAATGTTAACATACTTGGATCATAATCAGATAGGGAGATTATCCTGGCTTATCTGGGTTTTCCCAGTGTAATCACAAGGGTCCTCAAACATGGAAGAGGGAGACAGAACACTCAAGTGTTTGAGTGATGTCAGACTGATTGGCCATTGCTGGTTTTGAAAGAAGCCCCAAACCACAGAATCTGGGCAACTTCTAGGAGCTGGAAGGGCAAGGAAAGATGCTCCCCTAGAGACTCCAAAAAGAAAAGCAGCCCTGTCTACAGCTTGATAGAGCCCCGTGAGATGCATTTGGACTTCAGACCTCCAGAACTCTAAGATAATGATTTTGTGTTGTTCTAAGCCATTAAATCTGTGTTAGTTTGGTGCAGCACTCATAACAAACTAACATAATTTTACTTCCATATTTGTTATATTCATAGGTTTTCATTACATAATACCATTCCTGGGGTTCAAGATTTCATTTATTAGACATGTCCCTCCAAGACTCTCAAGACATAAAACTGTGATACAGGAGATAATTTGGTGAGTTTCCATCATGTCTTACTTTCAAGAGTTTTTCTTTTGTATAACTTCTCCCATATTTTACTAAAAATGTTTTCCATATCCATTGCCTCTACAGTTGTCTTTGTTTCTTTGGCACACAAGGCACAATTTAGTGCTAAAAGCACCATCACAATCTTTCATAAACATTCCTGTAAGTTTTCTTTTGATACCAATTGAGATATCATATCCAGGTAAAGGCTTCCTCATAACAGATACATTTCTGCCCAACATGATTTCAATGGCATTTAACAGGTTTGACTTCTTACAGAAATGTCCTCTACAACCACTGCCTCCAGTGTTTCAGCCCTAAATGAGCTCTCTGGCATATAGTGGCTGCAGGATTCCTATTAAAGATTTTCCCACCTTTCTGGTATCAGATTTATTCTTACACAATATCTGTAACATACAAGATATAATTTATTACTGATGGGGCCACATTCACTTCATTTGCGAGGCTTATTCCCTGTTCAAATTCCTGATTAACTACAAAGGCTTGATTTCTTGGAAAAGGTTGTTCTACAATCACTACATTTCTACCCACTAGGCGCTCACTCTTGTTTAACAATGCCGGGGTTCCTGAGGCAGGCATTTCTATAGGTACAGTCTTTTGCTCTTGTATGTGTTCACTCATGTATAAGGAGGTATGACTCCTTGAAGGTGGTTTCTCCACCTTCAGTGAATGTATGGCTTTCTCTCTTATGTGAGTTTTCTTATGTTTAATGAGGACTGACATGTGGGCAAAGGCTTTGCCACATTCGCTGCATGAATATGGTCTCTCTCCAGTGTGAGTACGCTGATGCTGAATGAGCTTTGACTTGCTTCTAAAGGCTTTTTCACACTCATGACATTCATAAGGTTTCTCTCCTGTATGAATTCTCTGATGTCTGGTCAGGTCTGACTTAAAATAGAAGGTTCTCCCACAATCACTGCATTTATAAGGCTTCTCTCCTGTGTGAAGTCTCTGGTGTGCAATGAGGTATGCCTTCTGAGAAAAGGCTTTCCCACACACACTGCACCCATAGAGTTTCTCTCCAGTGTGGGATCGCTGATGTCTATTGAGCCGGCACTTCCGGCTGAAGGCTTTTCCGCATTTGCTGCATCTGTAGGGTTTCTCTCCTGTATGGGTTCTCTGATGGACCATGAGCTGTGACTTTCTGGAGAAGGCTTTTCCGCATTCACTACACTCATGGGGCTTCTCTCCCGTGTGAGTTCTCTGATGCTCAGTGAGCTGAATCTTCCTCATGAATGTTTTCCCACATTCACCACATCCATGGGGTTTCTCTCCTCTTTCAGTTCTCTGATGTTGGGTAAGCTGTGCTTTCCTGGAGAAGGCTCTCCCGCACACACTGCATTCATGTGGTTTCTCTCCTACACAAATTTTTTGATGGTCATTGAGCTGTGATTTAGGGCTGGCGGGTTTAACACATCTATGGTATTTAACTCCAGTAAGAGTTTTGTCACGCTTGATGATATGGAGGCATGATTTCCCATATCCACCAAATGCATCAGAATCTTTTCCTGTGTATCTTCTATTCTGGATAACAAACCCTAAATGAGATTTCAGACTTTTACAATGTGAGCCAAACTTATTGTGTCTTTATATTAAAGGAACAATGCTCTTAAATAAATCAAACTTATTTCCAAGGGCATAACTTTCCTGACATCTTTTGGAATGTTTAAGCTCATTTTGGTTTTCTGGGTACCACTGCATATGGTCAATCCCCCCAAATTTCTTCTAGGAAAAAGAACAATAAGAACATCCATGATAATTTTTTGTGGAGGTAGCAGAAGGTACAAAAATGCCATGGTTTTGGCTGGCTTTTATAAGATCTCAGTCTCAGAGCAGTGTACCTCACCCTCTGTGAAAAAGGAAGATGCTATAAAACAGCAAAAGGAAAACATAGCAACTTTAGCAACAACAATGGATACTCTATAATGAATCAATACAACTTGGGCTGCCTCCCAAATCGGACCTTGCAAATGGAGACAGAGTAGAAACAGAAACACATTGCAACCGGAATAAATCAAAAATAGATGGAGGGGATGGATATATTCACCCAACAAACACTGAATGGACTGGTATTTGGGATACTACAGTGACTAATAATATATTCTCTCTCTCCATGAACCTGTCATTCAGGTAAAGATAGAGAATCAACAGGTATGCAAAGAAGTAAGAAAATTACAGAATATGAAGAACAGTACAAAGGAAGTGGCTCACATCATAGGGTAAGAACGAGCAATGTTATGCAAAGAACAAAATAAAAAACATTCCAAGAAAAGGGAACAGCCAGTGTGAAAACCCAGAGGCAGAAAAAACTTAGGTGTGATAAAAAAAAAAAATGTAAGAGAAGCTGGTTTACCTGGAATATCCTGAGCTTGAGTGAAGTAGAAATACAAAAGTTTGGCAAGGCTGGCAGAATTAACAACATAGAGATTTTGGAGGAAGACTTTGTTAGAAATTGGAATTTATGCTAAGAACAATGGCAGTAAGCCACAAAACATTTTCTGCCAAGAAAACATGCTCTGAATTGACAGTTCCAAAACATGACCGTTCTATGGAGAATGAATTGGAGAGATGAAATTATAGAAGAGAATACCCCAGAGGCTATGGCAGAATTCAGGTGGCTTGATTAGGAATAATTACAATGGAGATGGAGAAATGTGAAAAAACAAGGACATAAGTATGGAGGAGGGAAAGACAGGATTCACTCTTAGAACAAATATTGCCGGTAGAAAAGGGAAGAATTGAGGATAATTGCTCAATATGTGGCTTACACACCTATGTAGGTGCTGGTGCCATTTAATAAAATGAGGGTAAAAGAAGCCTCATACCAACCAGTAAAATACATGCACAAAACAATACATGACCATTACTAAGTTAGTGCAGCATAGACACAAAGGAGATAAAAGTCAGAAAAGAGGGTGGCCAGGCGCAGTGGCTCACGTCTGTAATCCCAACACTTTGGGAGGTCAAGGCAGGTGGGAGGAGTTTGAGACCAGCCTGGCCAACATCGTGAAACCCTGTCTCTACTAAAAATACAAAAAAAAAAAAAAAAAATTGGCCGGGCATGGTGGTGGGCACCTATAATCTCAGCTACTTGGGAGGCTGAGGCAGGAGAATCCCTTGAACCTGGGAGGCAGAGGTTGCAATGAGCCAAGATTGGGCCACTGCACTCCAGCCTGGGCAACAAGAGCAAAACTGTGTCTCAAAAAACAAAAAAAAAAAAAAAAAGAGGGATCTCCAAATGTGCCCTGCAATAGTCAAAAACTACTTCTTGGAAGTAAAACAAGAGCTGACAGTGAAAGAGAGCAATATCTGGATGTAAAAATGCAACATGATCAAATGCACAGATATCAGTCCTCACGTTATTTGACATTATCTGTAGCATTCAATAAAATATATGCCTTCCTCTTATCTGTAGCATTCAATAAAACATATGCCTTCCTCCTCCTTGGAATAATTTTGTCACTTATTTCATGGACATCTTCTGATTCTCCTACCACAACCCTAATACTTTTTCTATGTGGCTGGGTTCTTCTCTTCTGAATCTCTGAATATATGTGGACCTCTTGTTTCTTCAAGCAACACTCACTCCTCATGTCTTCTCATCAAGTTCCAGCGCCTTGACGGCCCCTGCCCAGAGGGGAATGAAGCCATCACATCAAATGGAACTCACAGAAAAATGGAAGTCAGTCAAAGGTGCAGCAATGGAGGTGATGCGAACTTCTATTACTATGGCCTACTGTGAAGTGGGACTTGAGAGTGGAGTGTTCAAAACAATAAAAATTAACAGAGCAGCTGAGACGTTCAGACATACAACAGAGTAAACCGAGAAGACTCAAAGCAACGCCAAGGTGAGCAGGAACCGGAGTGGTGAGCAATACAGCAGAACCTAAATATAATGCACAGGGAGGGAAAGGATTTTCCAGGAGGAAAGAGAATCCCAGCTTCTAACCCTGAAGCCGAGGGAAGAATTTCACAGAATACTCGTCCTGGGTGCTGGCAAAATATAGAATAAGAAGGCAGGTGAGATTACAGAAAAGGAGGTATCTGCATGAAACTATTTGTCAGAAGACAGAGCTGAAATCTTTAGTATATATGAGTATACTATATGATGGTAGAAACATCTGGGAGAAAGGAGGATTCCGGTTTCACATACTGGAATAAGGAAATATCTGGAGAGCTGTCCTGGCGGCTGGCGACACACAGCGGGTTAGAGTGCAGATGAGACATTAGTAGCAGAGATGTCTATTTGCGAGTCTCCAGCAGGGGCCAGAGAGCTTAGGCCTTGAGGGTGAATTAAACTTCTACCAGGAGAATCAGCAGAAGATAAAAGGAAAACAGAAGCTGGAAAGGTGGGGAGCAGTGGGTGAGTAAGTCGACAGAGATGCCCCGAGAGACAAGGTGTGGGGGCTTTGACATGAGCTAAGGTGAGGTGATTTTCAGTAAAGGAAATCGGCCCTTTCCAAAGGGGCCGGGGTACACTTTTAAGCAACAGAAGTGCTAAAAGTAACACAATCCAACCAGGTGCAGTGTCTCACGCCTGAAATCCCAGCACTTTGGGAGGCCAAAGTGGGTGGATCATGAGGTCAGGAGTTTGCGACCAACCTGGCCAATGTAGTGAAACCCCATCTCTACCAAAAATACATAAAATTAGCCGGCCTCATGGCCGGCACCTGTAATCCCAGCTACTCAGGAGGCTGAGGCATGAGAATCACTTGAATCTGGGAGGTGGACGTTGCAGTGAGCCAAGATTGCACCACTGCACTCCAGCCCAGCCAACAGTGCAAGACTCCATCTCAAAAAAATAAAAAAATAAATAAATAAATAAATAAATAAATAAAGGCAACACAATCCAGATGGGTTACAAGGGGAATTTCAAAGCAAGTAAGGTAGGGAGCAGGAAGGGACAAAAGCCGGAGGCAGGCTGGGAAGAATGGAACCAGGTAAGAATTCAAGGTCTTCAATGATATGGACTGAAATTAGATCCAGAAAATAGAAGGAAGGAAGACATTATCCTTTGAGAGCCGGGAAGGGACAGTTCTATTAGGGATGGACACAGATGCAGAAAGGCTGATTAGGTTTCTGGGCCACCAACTACAGTAAAGTCCTCTAAAGAACATTTTAAAAGCATCAACCCTTCTCCGACCAGCTGGGATTTTCATGCCATTTCTCCCCATTTTCTTAGTCTTCACTTACTTACCTGGACAGGTTTGACTGTGGGCTGCCCCTTCTACTATCCATGGGGGTTCTCCTTGCTCCAACTTGAAGAGTGAATCTGGCTTGGTGCCTTGATACCCTGTAAACAGGAGATCACTGAACACTTGGCACGTGTGCTTGGGGAATGGATGAAGATAGAGAGAGTTATGTCTCAGGAACCACAGTATTTGCACTTTGATAAAGTAAAAATCTTTCACTCAGTAAAAGAGCACAACCACTTTGTGCCAGGGAGAAAAATACAAGTCTATGACACACTCATACCCATTAGGATGGCTACTATCAAAAAAAAAAAAAAAAAAAAAAAAGCAGAAAATAACAATTGTTGGCAACAATGTGGAGAAACTGGGACCCTGTGCACTCTTGGTGGGAATGTAAAATGGTACTGATATTGTGGAAAACTTCCTCAAAAAATTAACAATGGAATGACCATATCACCCAGCAATTCCACCTCTGGGTATATACCCCAAAGAATGGAAAGCAGGGTCTCAGATATTTGTACACCCATTTCATAGCAACATGATTCACAAGCCCTCAAACGTGGAAGGAACCCAGGGTTCCTTAACAGATAAGTGGATAAACAAAAGGTGGTATATACATACAAAAGAATATCATTCAGCCTTAAAAAGGAAATTCTGGCACACGCGACAACACGGATAAACCTTGAGAACATCATACTAAGTGAAATAAGCCAGACACAAAAAGACAGACACTATATGATTTCACTTATATGAGGTACTTAGAGAAGTCAAAATCCTAAAGACAGAAAGTGAATGGTGGTTGCAAGGGGCTGGGGAGAAGTGGGGCAATGGGTAGTTGCTTTGTGAGTACAGAGTTTCAGTTTTAGAAGACAGAAGGTAGTGGTGGTGGGTGCATAACACTATGAGTGAATCCCAGTGAACTGCACACTTATGATTAAGATGGTAAATTTTATGTTATACATTTTACCACCACAACAAAAAAAATCTATGACATACAATGCTTTAGTCTAAACCATTAAATATTTACAGGACCATACAGAGGTCACCAAATAAGAAAAAGGTAAGTGACTGTGATGCTGTCCTTACCTACTGATACTAGGTTGCTGTAGTTTTCCAACATTACTTCCTTGTACAAGACCTTCTGAGACCAGTCCAAAAACTGCCACTCCTCCCTGGTGAAGTCCACAGCCACATCTTCGAATGACAATGATCCCTATAAGAACAATTCCAATGCAATCTGAGGTGGATAACAATAGATGATGCAGAAAAGAGGGACAGGGACACGTCTTGATCCTTTTCTCCATGACATTATGCATACCATGACTATTTCACATACCAAAGGACCATGGAATTCCAGCAATACCTCCTACCCTAAAAAAGCACTAAGGCAGTATTCACATAGATATGAAACAACGCGTAATAAGAATGTTCATTATTCCTTTGTTTCTGATATTGAAAAACGTATCAATAATCTAAATGTCTATCAAAAGCAGACAGGGTTAAATTACAGCACCTCCATGCTATAATATACTACAAAAATGTTAAAATCAATGAGGTAGATGTATACATAACCATGTGATTATCAATGATCTCCAAGGCATTCTCTTAAACGCAAAAAATTAAGCTCCCAAATAATATATGATCTAAGACATATTTTTAAAAATGTAATAATATGGCTGGGCGTGGTGGCTCACACCTGTAATCCTAGCACTTTGGAAGGCCGAGGAGGGCAGATCACGAAGTCAGGAGATTGAGACCATCCTGGCTAACATGGTGAAACCCCGTCTCCACTAAAAATACAAAAAATTAGCTGGGCATGGTGGCGGGCATCTGCAGTCCCAGCTACTCGGGAGGCTGAGGCAGGAGAATGGCGTGAACCCAGGAGGCGAACCTTACAGTGAGCCAAGATCGCGCCACCGCACTCCAGCCTGGGCAACAGAGCAAGACTCCGTCTCCAAAAAAAAAAAAAAGCAATAATATGGCTGGGCGTGGTGGCTAACGCCTGAAATCCCAGCACTTTGGGAGGCTGAGGCAAGGGGCTCATGAGGTCAGGAGTTCAAGACCAGCCTGGCCAACATGGTGAAACCCCATCTCTACTAAAAATAGAAAAATTAGCGGGGTGTGGTGGCACGCACCTGTAATCCCAGCTACTCAGGAGGCTGAGGCAGGAAAACTGCTTGAGCCCAGGAGGCAGAGGTTGCAGTGAGCCAAGACTGCGCCATTGCACTCCAACTCTGGGCAACAGAGCAAGACTCTATCTTGGGGGGGAAAAAAAGTAATAATATATACAATTATATAAGTACACACATATGTATACAGAAATGTACCTAAATATAAATATATTCTATCAGATGTCAATCACAGGGAGGAACTAGATAGAGACACAAACTATGAACACTTATTTATTACCCTTTGGGTTGAAGTTTGGGCAGAAAAAGGGTGAAAGGAGATACTGTCTTTTGATACAAATGCTTCTATTTGCTTGAATCTCTTGCATGCAAATGTAGCCATGTATCATTTCAGTAATTAAACACAGTAAAAGCAAAACAAGCAGAACTGGTGCTTTGTTTTCTGAACCTGGAGTTAAGCAGGTAAGAAAGAAGCATTGTCAGTATCTGCATTCCAAGCTGTTACCAAAGAATGGAGCTGCTAGTTGTCTCCTGCTGTATCAATAACAAAAATCTGGCTGAAAGAATTCTACTTCATGGAGGATCAAAGGTCAGGCAGCCCATTCATTCTATTGGATACTCCAGGCTTTACTCGTGGGCAAAGTCAGATGACCAGAAGCGTCTATTTTCAAAGCACCCTATTTTCAAAGAATTTTGTCCAATCCAGTTTTCCTTTGGCATTACTCCTTAGCTTACCCCACTAAATAATAGGAAAAAGCCAAAGAAAACATCCCATGCCTTTATTACAAGGCTGACTTTGAGGATACTGTCAACCACAAAAGCTCTCTGAAGGAAAGAAATTTCTCAAGATCTAACAGCAATGACACATTTACCTCCCCTGAAGAACTGCCTTGCTCTCTCCTCACAGACATTACAATCGTGGCATTTTTCATGTGTTTCCTGTTATTTCAGCTGCCAAAAAAAGAGACACAGTTTAAAGCAGAGAAAACCCACAGGGTCTTAACAGTCACTTAGCTATGTTCCGACATTAAGAACTTGGCACAAACCCCCCGATCTATATATCTCGTTTCTTAATTTGCCAGGATTTTAAGATTCCAACTTAAACTTATTTTCTGACAGATCCTGATTTTTATCAGAATACACTATCTCATTTAACCAGGCTGTCTTTTACAAGCTTCCACAGATCCACTGGGAAACAAAAGACAAAATAGGTAAAACAAACCTCACCTGGGCCTTGGCCATTTTCTTCAACTCTTAGGGGCTAGCAACTCTAGGGTGTTCTCTCTCTTCTGTCTATTCTGGGCCTTCCCAGTAGTTGTGGTCAGGTATCATCTCAGGTCAAGCTACCATTGGAAACGATGACCTTCCCAGCCTGGAAGCTTTTCTTCCATTACTGAAAATGTCTTGTTCCTATAGGCTAGAACCTGGGGATTCGATACCAAATTCAATGATAAGAAACATGCTCTTAGGACCACAAGTCTCCAATTGCCATCTGGACTCACATTAACATCAGGTTCCAATACTTCATCGGACTCCTTAACACCCTGGAATCATGGGGCACTGGTCCATAGGAAGATATGGAATGAGCAAGAGGAATGCCTTTTTTTTTTTTTTTTGGTTATGTCAGAAATAGAACGGATGTGAAACAGGAGATAGTAAACTAAAACCACCTTATGGTCTTGTCTACTGCCAAGTTCTCACATATATGTTTTAGGTAAGATCATGAAGGAAGTGGTAAAGCCAAGCATGGTGGCATGGGCCCTAGGGTCCCAGCTATTGTAGAGGCTGAGATGGGTGGATCTCACCTGAGCTCTAGAGTTCAAGACCAGCCTGGACAACATGGCAAGACTGTCTCTAAAAACAAAAACATAAAAGAAGTGGTGGCTCAGGAAACTGACTTAAATTCACCGGCAGCCACATGCTCCTAAATTTTTTGTTTACTGCACTGTCTTACTAATCATACAAACCATACGCACTGTCTTACTAAACCCTCAATACTACTGTATAAGGTACTCATTAGTATTTCCATTTTAAACACGAGTAAGCTGAGGCTTGCTGAGACAAAGTGTGTTGTGCAGGTTAACATTCTTCCTAATTAGAAGCGTGGGAACTTGAATCTACATCTGGCTCTCTCCCTTGTGACACTTCCCTCCTACAACAGCCTCACAGTACAAATTTGTTCTCTTTCCCTCTCACTTTTAGAACTCTACTTCCCAGCGCTTTACACTGCGGGGTGGCCACACAGTCACAGCTACACAAACAAGAGCCTGCGATCTCCTAATGCAATATTCAGTGTGTGTGCTCAGCCTGCTCCTTCCACACAGGCAGGAAAGCAAAGGCGGTCCTATCCTTGCCCCAGAAGCAGCAGTTCAGAGATCAGTCTCCCCAAGAGCCGCTCTAGAAACTCACACTTTGAGAACACCCACACTGTGAGACCAACTTGAATGTTGCTGTCACCCCAGCAAGTCATTCTCAAGACTCTCTAGCAAGCCTGTATCCTTTACACCCAGAGAGCTCATCTCCAAGCCATTTTCTGACCCACCGGTAAACACGCTGGTCAAAATGCAAACTTCCTCTACCTTCAATCCTGAGACTGCTTCATCCCAGCCCCAGCCCTTCAGTCCAGCCTCCCTACAGGGCCAGTCCAAAAACAGTGGTACCCAACCCAAATGCAGAAATCCGTATGGATGGCTAAGAGGTAGAAAAGGCAGTTATGCATAAGTGGGTTGGAGCTGAGATCTCCAGGGTTGAAAAATCCAGGATCCAGCCATTTCCCAGAAGCTCATGGCAGACTTTCCGTCATATGTAATACATCAGAATTGCACCAGATACTCACGCGGAGAACATGGCAATTAACCGAGAATGGCAATGATATATCAATCACCCTGATTGGTAAGAATAATCTGGATTTCCTACTGAACTGAGGTTCAGGTCAAATGTCCAGAGGGACAGCTACCTAAATTAAAGAGGAATTTGCTTAACAAAGGGGGCTTGGATGTCAGATTGTCAGCCAACAGTATCCAATAAAAAAACAAAAAAAAACTAGGGCCTGCTGTGTTGGCTCAGGCCTGTAATTGCAGCAATTCTGCAGGTGAAGGCAGGAGAATTCCTCGAGGCCAGGAATTTGAAACCAGCCTGGGTAACATACCAAGACCTTGTCTCTACAGAAAAATTTAAAACTTAGCCAGGCATGGTGGTGCATGCATGTAGTCCCAGGTACTTAGGATGGTGAGGCAGGAGGATCGCTTGAGCCCAGGAGTTCCAGGCTGAATTGAGTTTATGATCGCATCACTGCACTCCAACCTGCACAACACAGCAAGATCCTGCCTCGGAAAAAAAAAAAAAGGCAAAAAAAAAAGCCCTCCACTTCAAATAAAAGTTAGGATGCTTCCAGACCATTACAAGCCCTCAGCCTTATCTGCTTTTGGGAGGAATGAAGCAGAGGAAGGAAACAGGTAATTTCTCTCATATGATGTCCTACCTTTGGATTTGTCTGACCGCTGTATCAGGGTATCATTTTGTATGGGTTTTTTAAAACTTTTTTTTTTGAGAAGGAGTCTCGATCTGTCGCCAGACTGGAGTGCAGTAGTGCGATCTCAGCTCACTGCAAACTCCACCTCCCGGGTTCAAGCAATTCTCTGCCTCAGCCTCCTGAGTAGCTGGGATTACAGGTGCCCAGCAACACGCCCCGGCTAATTTTTGTATTTTCAGTAAAGACAAAGTTTCTCCATCTTGGCCAGGCTGGTCTTGAACTCCTGACCTCATGATCCACCTGCTTCAGCCTCACAAAATGCTGAGATTATAGGTGTGAGCCACTGCACCTGGCTAAATTTTTTTTTTTATAGAGACATGGTCTTGCTATGTTGGCCAGGTTGGTCTTGAACTCTTAGCCTCAAGCAATCCTCCTGCTTCAGCCTCCCAAAGTGCTAGGATTACAGGCATGAGCGACTGCTCCCAGCCTCATGGTATAGTTTAACTTGTTATTCTCTACCTACCCAACTCCCAATTTTTCCTTTTAATTAAGTGAGTAGTTCAACTTAGAGGTTTGATTAGTCCCATGTTCAATTTTTTTAGATAAGAATCCTTCATGGATGGTGCTGTGTACTTCCTACCACAATATATGAAGAGGCATGAGAACAAAAAAAAAACAAAGAAAAATAAAAAAAGAAAGGGGAGTTGTTACAGAATTAAAGAGATACAACAAGCAAATCGAACGTACCCATATCATTTGGATCATGATTCAAACAATCCAATGTTAAAAGACAATGATGAGATGATCAGAAAAAAACTGAATATGGACTAGCTATTCAATGAACTAAAGAAATAGGCTGGGCACAGTGGCTCATGCCTGTAACCCCAGCACTGTGGGAGGCCAACATGGGCAGATCACTTGAGGTCAAGAGTTCAAGACCAGCCTGGCCAACAAGACAAAATCCCATCTCCATAAAAAATATAAAAAATTAGCCTGGTGTGGTGGTGGATGCCTGTAAGCCCAGCTACTCAGGAGGCTGAGGCAGGTGAACTGCTTCAATCCGGGAGGCGGGAATTGCAGTGAGAAAAGATCGTGCCACTATACTCCAGCCTCGGTGACAGACCGAAAGTCCATCTGCCCAAAAAGATAAGGAAAGAAATTATTATTAACTTGGATACACTGAAAATGGTCTAGGATGGGTGAAGTGGCTCACACCTGTAATCCTAGCACTTTGGGAAGTCAAGGCAGGAGGACTGCTTGAGCCCAGGAGTTCAAGACCAGCCTGAGCAACACAGCAAGATCCCATCTCTAAAAGAAAAAACAAAAAGAAAATGGTCTAGTGGTTATAAATTTTTTTAATGACCACACCGGTTAGAGATTCATACTGGGATACTTACAAGTTTCAAGGCATGAAGCCTTGGATTTGCTATGAAATTCTTGAGTAAAACAAAAGTGGAGGCACAGATAAATATGACTGATATGACAGATAAATATGAATTGATAACTGTTGAAGCTAAGTTATGGGCAAATATTATACTATATTCTCAATTTCCATGAAAAAAAGTTAAAAGAGTCATCAGAGCCTGATGAGTTCTATCTAATCTTTACAGTATAGATGACTCCAATATTATGTAACATTCACAATTCACAGAAAAAGTGAAGCCTCTCTAACAATTATATAAAACTAGCATTTCCAAACACCAATCAATAGAATAGAAAAAAAAAAGAATTATAGAGATAGGTGCTTATTCATTCATTTTCATCCTTCCTTCTTTTCTAATACTTGCATTCGAGGTTATAAATTTCCTCCAGTGACTTCTTAGGTTAAATTCAACAAGGGTTTACATGTAGAATTCTTATTAAAATGCAATTGAAAATATTTCCACTGTGATTTTTTTTTTTTTACTCAGATTACTTAGAAGTGTATGGCATAACTGCCAATCATTCTGACAAGAAAAAAACACGTTCTGAATTGATAGTTCCAAAAAGTCACATGACTATTCTATAGCAAATAAATCATTTTGATATTGATTTATAGCTTAATTCCACTGTAGTTAGAGAAAAAATTCTGTATGGTTTTAATCCTTTGAAATTTACTTAGACTTGCCTGATGGCTAACCATATGGTGACTTTTTATAAATGTTCTATGTGCATCTGAGGAAAATTATTGAGTGCAGTGTTTTAGATTGGTCAAGTTTGTTAATTATTTACGTCATTCTAACCTTTCTGGGGTTAGGACTATTGTGGGTTAGCTGCCTGTTTTGTAAATAATGTTTTATCAGAACACAGGCACACCCATTTGTTTATACATTCTGTATAGCTACTTTCATTCTATAATTGCAGAACCCAGTAGATGCAGACGAGACCATTTAGCTGGCAGAGACTAAAATATTTATCATCTGTCTGCACCTTTACAGAAAGTTTGCCAGCAATGGTTAATCTATACCCTTTTAGCTTTTTGTCTGCCTGTTCTCTAAGTTACTGGGAGAGGTATGTTAAGAATTTCCCATTATGATTGGGCATTTGTGGTTTCTCCTTGTGTCTAGCATACTCCTCTCCTCTATACTTAATACACTAAGTATATGCTCAATTGAACTATGTTTTTTGTTTTTTTTTTTAAGACAGAGTTTCACTCTTATTGTCTAGGCTGGAGTGAAATGTCATGATCCTAGCTCACTGCAACTTCTGTCTCCTCGGTTCAAGTGATTCTCCTGCCTCATCCCTCCTAAGTAGCTGGGATTACAGACACCTGCTACCACGCCAGGCTAATTTTTGTATTTTCAGTAGAGACGGGGTTTTATCATGTTGGCCAGACTGGTCTCAAACTCCTGATCTCAGGTGATCTACCCGCCTCAGCCTCCCAAAGTGCTGGGATTATAGGCGTAAGCTCTCACGCCCAGCCCTCAATAGAACTTTTATGCACCAAAAGACATGTAGAAAAACATTCATATCAACAATTCTCATAACTCCCATAAACCATAACAATGTCTCTTGATAATGGAATGGATAAAAAATATAGGGTATAATTATCAATGGAATACTACATAGCAATGAAGAAATGAGCTACTGCTATATGCAGCAACGTAGATGAATTTCACAACAAAAATATTGAGCAAAAGAAGCCAGCCACAAAAGAATGTGTACCTTAGGATTTCATTTACATAAAGGTGACAACCAAGCACATCTATGATGTTTTTAGGATAACAATTACCTCTGAAGAGGACAGAGAAGATGAGGGCTTCTGGGATGCTACATTATTCTATTTTGTTAACCTGGTGATTTTTCAAGTATAATCACTTGCAAAAAAAACTTAAGAAAACTACAGACCAATTTCTCTTATAAATGTATAGGCAAAAATTTTTTCTTAATTTTCTGTGAAAAATTTCAAGCAAAAGAACAGTATACTCGAATTCCACATATTCATCATGTGACTTAAAGAATGATGAACTTACACCTAATTTTGTTTTATCTATACCACCATTCAGTCCCTCTCCACCAATGGATTATGGATTATTCTCAAGCTCATCCAAGATCTCTTTTCATTTCTTGCTGCAAAAATATTAAATAAAATTTTAGTAAATAAAATCCCGTCTCATATCAAAAGAACAAATCATTATTGACAAGTATAGTTTTTTCCTCAGGAATACATGAAATTGGGAAACAGAGCAACATAAATCAAAGAAAATTTTAAAGAGAAAAAAATATAAATGAAAATAATTGTAAAGGTCAAAAGCCCTTAGGAAAGAGAAATAAAAACTTGATAAATCACAGTCATTATTTATTCAGACCATACTGTGTACCTAGTACTACACTTTGAACATACTTAAAGAACGTTTGCTCACTTAATCTTCATAACGATTCCATGAAAAAGAAACGAGGACAGCTTTTTTTCCACAAATAAGGAAACTGACTCAGAGATTAACATACCCAAGTCAGAGGCAGAGGCAGGTACTTCTTACTCCACAGTCCATCCACTTGCCACCTGGCTAAAATTATTAGCAGATGACAAAAATGCTCAACTAGAAAAAAGAAAGACATCAATTTATAAGTTATGTGTAATGACATGAGTAGAATGAAGTGACAGAATAAACGTATATATTTTTAACTTCTGTTCTTGTCCACTAAGTAAAATTAGAAAGGAAAAAAGTAAAGAGGGAGAGGTCTTATGCGAAAAAAAAAAGTCACGATTTACATCAAAAAGTATTAACTATGTAGAAATAAGCATAACCAGAAATGTCCAAGACATGTATGGAAAACACTACAGCTAGTCAAAGAAATAAAAATCTTGGGTTAATGGAAATCCATCACATGTTCCTGAAAGTGTTGTTTCTAGATCTACATCAGTTCTACCCAAATTAAAGCAAACACCTGAAGGAACCGCAGCAGTTTAAAAAAGAAAACTCTCAAAGAGCATGTAATAAGGGAATACGTAGTTGACAAGATGTTAGATTAAATATGAATAAAATTATACCAATACCTAGACACCGGAACCCAAAATACGAATAAAATCATACCAATACCTAGACACCTGATCCCAACGCTAAACATGAAATACACTAAACCAGAGTTATTTTCTGGAGGAGTATTTAAAATGATGGGGATGTTATTACTTGAGTCGCAATGATCCTGAAAGCAAATTTTCTACAGAATATACAGGAGCAGGGAAGCAAGGGGACCAGCAGACCCCTTTGTGATAAGCAATGAACACGAACTGCCCAGAGCTGTCTCCAACACCGACACGATTCGCTTCCCCACCACGACGCCCTAGTGCTACTGTGCAACGAAGACCTCCCAAGCGCTTGTTCCAATGCGGAGCCCATGAGCTCCCAGACTCTGGGAACCGCAACACGACTCTGCGAAACGAACCCCCAGCGAGGACTCCCCCCGAGCTCCCCGCAACACGGACCCCACGCGCTTAGCGAACAACCAAAAAAAAACTCAACGCGCTCTCCCTGGCTCTGAAACATTACCAGAAGCCCACGGAGACCAGATCGATGACCCTCTGTCTCCACTGCTGGAGGCGAGTCACGGACCCTAAATCCCTAAACACTCGCCTCTGCCCGCCGACCCGCGAACCCCGCAAGCTGCAGACGCAACACTCGCAAGTTTCGGGGATGGCGGCCGGCGAGGGCCACACAGCGTCTTTTCAGAGACCCGGAATCCGGCGAATGCCGTCGCTTCATGATGCAATATGTCTGCGCCCAAGGGATGCTTGCTGGGAGCAGCCATTTTCAACCCTACTGCCGTACAGCAGGCGAAGTTCCCCTTTCCGGGCCTTAAGACAGGTAGGCTCTGACAATGAAAAGCGTTTGAAAACGACCCACCCTTTTTCCATTCCACGTGAACTGCTGGACTTTGGCTTTGCAACATTCGCCAGGGGCGCTACATAAACTGCTTAGTTTCTCAAAGGCTCAAGCCTGCCCTGATCTGTCTGCAGGCTGGGTAGAGATGGTCACAGACATTTAGGCACTTTAATCCTAGGAAGAATGGAAAGAAACCATGTGGGCGCGGCAATCTGAGAGGAATTTCAAGAGGGAGGGACCTGAGCAACAATCGGAGGGGCAATTATCCTGAGGATGCTTCTGGCTGGAGGGACCTTATGGAGAAAGCTGCCTTTGAGAACTGCCTGAGAAGTATCTTTACATGTACATCAGATGTAGCCTCAGAGGAAGGAGTCAGTCAAAGAATGGGTAAAACGACGGCGAAGCTTAGGTTATAACTGGCGTGGAGAATGGAGAACAGGGTTGATCAGCGGCCGACCAAAGTGGGGAACTGAAGGGGGCCAGCTCCTGAACAACCCGTGGGTGTTTCTCGTCAGGTGGGACCAGAGACTGAGAAAAGAAATACGAGACAGAGACAGAGTATAGGGAAAGAAAAGTGGGCCCAGAGGACCAGCGCTCAGCATACGGAGGAGGACCCACGCCTGCACCAGTCTCTGAGTTCCCTCTGTATTTATTGATCATTATCTCTACCATCTCAGAGAGGGGGATGTGACAGGACAATAGGGTAATGGTGGGGAGAGGGTCAGCAGGAAAACATGTGAACAAATGTCTCTGTGTCATAAACAAGGTTAAGAAAAGGTGCTGTGATTTGATGTGCACATACATAAACATCTCGGTGCATTAAAGAGCAACAGAATGTCTCGGTGTAAAACCCGATTGTATTTTCTATTTACTGAGATACGAGAAAACCGCCTTAAGACTGGAGGTTGAAGGGGTGGCCTGCCCCTCCACACCTGTGGGCGTTTCTCGTCAGGTGGGATGAGAGACTGAGAAAAGGAATAAGACACAGAGACAAAGTATAGAGAAAGAAAAGTCGTCCCAGGGGACCTGCGCCGGCACTGGTCTCTGAGTTCCCTCAGTATTTATTAATCACTATCTCTACCATCTTGGAAAGGAGGATGTGGCAGGACTGCAGGGTAATGGTGGGGAGAGGGTCAGCAGAAAAACATGTGAGTAAAGATCCCTGTGTCATCAATAAGTTTAAGGAAAGGTGCACGTAGGCCAGATTTATGTTTGACTTTACACAAACATCTCAGTGCAGTAAAGAGCAGTATTGCCGCCAGCATGTCTCACCTCCAGCCATAAGGCGGTTTTCTCCTATCTCAGTAAATAGAACGTACGATCCAGTTTTACACCAAGACATTCCATTCCCAGGGATGAGGAGGAGACAGATGCCTTCCTCTTATCTCGACTGCAAAGAGGCCTTCCTCTTTCACTAATCCTCCTCAGCACAGACCCTTTATGGGTGTCAGGCTGGGGAACAGTCAGGTCTTTCCCTTCCCACGAGGCCATATCTCAGGCAATCACATGGAGAGAAACCTTGGACAATACCTGGCTTTCCTAGGCATAGGTCCCTGCGGCCTTCCACAATGTATCGTGTCCCTAGGTACTTGAGATTAGAGAATAGCGACGACTTTTACCAAGCATACTGCCTTCAAGCACTTTTTTAACAAAGCACATCCTGCACAGCCCTAAATCCATTAAACCTTGAGTCAACACAGCACATGTCTCTGCGAGCACAGGGTTGGGGCTAGTGTTATAGATTGACAGCATCTCAAGGTGGAAGAATTTCAGTACAGAACAAAATGGAGTTCTTTATGTCTACTTCTTTCTACACAGGCACAGTAACAGTCTGATCTCTCTTTCTTTTCCCCACAATACACTGATTTTTTTTTTAAACTTGCCCTAATTAAGACAGTTTACGTACCGACAGGCCTAAGTGATAAGACCTCAAGCCCTTCCTCAAATATCACTTTTCCAGTAATAGACTTGACCTCAGCCTTAAGCTAGCATCAGTTTTGTGCCAGCACCTATTGACATTACCCCTGACCACAGTTCAATTATTATATCAGCCTCTGAAAATACCATCCAGATTGGACAAAGCCTGCAGTATTCCAGTTTACAACTAGATTCAGCTCTTCCAGAACCTGTCTTCCCCTAATCCTGTTCAGCCTCTTCAGCTCTCTGTGGAACATGAGATACCAGGACACAGTTGATTCTCCTTTAAAGATCTCTTTTCATAAGGCACGAAGATACTTACCTGAGAGTACTTCTGCAGTGGGAGGAAATGAGGGTAGATGCCAGGAAGAATGTTGGGTCTGTTCCATTCCACAAGGAAGGTTGCAGCTGGTCAGTTATCTAGGAGCTTACAAGTTCATATTCCCAGGATTCTGAAAACAACAATTTGGATCAGGCATGACATTGCCTGTCCTATATTTGTATAAACCCTAGACCACTCACAGAGAAAAATGTAGGTATAGCTCTCAGGTGCACACAACACCCCTTCTCCATTTTCTTGTTCAGTGACCCACTCGTGGGTGTGGAAGCATTAGTGTTTGCCATCCAAGTCTCAAACCTGTTACAAGAACTTAGTTTCTCCCACACGATGTTGTTCATGAAGCCCCTGCACAAATGGCTAACAACACTCCAGTCTTTCTTTTCATTATCACCAGTGGGACACTCTTCATGTAATCAAAAGTGTGGTGCATCAAAGTGTCAGCCCACCAAGGTTTTGTTAGTTGTGGCTGTGGCATTTTGTCACAGTTGGTTAAGTTAAAACAGGGCACCTCTGCTTCCTTCCCATGTTCGGTAAGCCAGTAAGCCAGTAAGCCACTCGAGTTCTGCTGGTATACGCTGTCATGTTAGGTATACTGGTGTAGTTTATCACTGGTAGAATGAGAGGGTCACTCTAGGTGGTGACAGGTAGGCCAGGATGGCAGATCCAGCAGGGCTTCATCAGGTTACTCTTGGTGGCCAGAGCTTGGGAGAGCCTAAGGAAAGCTTTATGTTTCCAGGTCTCTGCTGCCTTGTCATTGTGAAAAAAGCATATTGACAGATTAGTGCCCTCCCCCTAACTCTCCTGGGGCCTCAGATGTTCCCTACCTATTGGATAGGGGTTGAGCTGAGTTGGGGTAGCAACCCAGTCTGTTTATACCAGTCCCTGTTGATTGACCCAAACCTTTCAGCTTCAGTTGCCTAGTCCAGGAAGGGAGGTCACATCCTATATAAACTTGACGTCTGATATGTTGCACACCTAACTGGAAAGATCAGCTGTCTCTGGCCCCACTAGAGGGAACCTAGCACTGTAGTATTCCTTGGTCCTATCCCTTACCCCTTCTTTTTGAAGGACTCATTTTCTGAAATAATATTGAATTAACTTTAGGGTCAGAAATTTAACAGCTAATCATCACATGATCTTGGTTGGGCACTGAAGATAGACAATTTAAAAAAGGAACCCACAAATGGGAGAAGTGAATATAATGTCGTTACAGTCTCACCGATGCATCACAATGTAGAGGTCCCTGGTTGTGAGGTATCATCCAGACTTCTTTGTCTCACAACCAAGAAAATTAAGGAGTATGGACGAAAAGGGAGAGGTTGGAGTGAAAGTTTAATAAGTGAAAAAAGAAAGCTCCCCACAGCAGAAAGGGAGCCTGAATGGGTTGCCATTTTTACGACTGAATTCAAGCTTTTCTGTGAAACTCATCTCTGTAGCTATTTGTGTAACTTATCTGTGAAGCTGTCTGTGCAACTCCCCTTATCTGTGTAGCTGTCTTTAGGCAAGCACAAAGCATAGCTTCTCCTGTTTGTGTAACTGTGGGTCTGTTTTAAGTAAGACTCCTCACTCCCCCTGCAAGCTCCCATGGAGTTCACCATGTACATGCCTGAAAAGGGGAGGAAACTTCTTCCTGGGAGCCCACTAATCACACAAAGAACAAAAGGCTTCTATGCTGGGCCTTACTTTCTTATCAGAGTAGCTGCTGCCTGAGTTTTCCCCACTCTGCTCTGTTCGTGCCTATGCTTGATTTTTCAAGCTTTCTGTTTAAAAGAATTTTGCCAAGGCCAGCTTTAGCTGTCTGCCCAATTAATTTTTCCTTTTTTCCTCCCTCAATGTGATAACCTTAACCAGTGATGTGGGGCAGACACTATTTCCTTTAACTTTTAGAATAATTAACGCAGTAAATAGTAATAGTTCAAGATATTCTGTCTAAAAATAGACATCAGTTATACTATCTGACATATGATGAAGTCAGGAATGGAACAGAAAGCTCTCAAACAATCCTCATTTCCGCAGGGCTTCTTTGTTTCAAGAGTACTTTAATATTTTGATAAAGGCACTTCACGGTAGTGGGTTCACAGTGTTTTATTTCTATATTTCACCTGCTAAAGGATGTGGCAGAATGTACCACTGAAAATGCTGTCACATTCACTACCTTCCAGGAGTTTTTCTCCAGTGTGTACTGACACCTCTTAAGGACAAAGGCTCTCCCACCATCACTGTATTTCTACCCACTATGAGCTCACTGTTGCCATGGTGATCACCAATGATAGGGTCCCTCTTCCAAAAGAGGCTTTCCTACTTTCTGCATTCACAGGATTTCAAGCTTTGTATTGAAACATAAGTTCGAAATCTTATGGAGGACTTAACCAGGTAATCAACTAGATACTTTTGGTCAAGGCTTTTCCGCATTTAATATACAGTTTTCAATTATGTGTTTGTAACATAAAAGAAGATGTAATTGATGACTGAAGGCATGACCACGTTCACTGCATTTGTAAGGCTTCTGTCCTGTGCAAAGCTTCTATTATCTCCCAAGGGTGCACATCTGGCAAGTGGCTGTCCCACAAGGACTACGTTCCTATCTGCTAGGAGCCCGCTGGTGTTAAATGGCATCTGCGGGGTCACAGAAGGTATCTGCAGAGTCACCATATTATCAGGGCTTTTCCCCTGCGTGTGTTCACTAGGACTTAAGTTGTGACTTGCTGTGGAAGGACTGTCCACCTTCACTGAATCCCCCTGTTTCTCCCTTGTGTGTATTCTCTTATGTTTAACAAGGCAAGACATATAGAAGTAAGCTTTCTCACACTTATCACAGCCATAGGGTCTCTCTCCCGTGTGAGTTCTGTGATGTACAATGAGCATTGTCTTTGTAATGAAGGCTTTCCCACAGTCACTGCATTTATAGGGTTTCTCTCCTGAGTGAATTCTCTGATGTCTAATGAGTCCTGACTTCTGTGAACAGGGTTGTCCACATTCAGGACATACAAAGGGAGTCTTTCCTGTATGATATCTCTGATGTGCTACAAGGCAAGACTTCTGGCTGAAGGCCTTACCACAGTCAATGCAACCATAAGGTTTCTCTCCAGTGTGAGTTCGTTGATGTATAATGAGATTGCCCTTCTGAATGAAGCATTTTCCACATTCACCGCATGTATAAGGCTTCTCTCCTGTATGAGTTCGCTGATGTACAATGAGTAGTGATTTTCTGGAGAAAGCTTTCCCACATTCGCTGCATTGATGCGGCTTATTTCCCGTGTGAATCCTTTGATGTTCAGTAAGCTGAGATTTCCTGGGGAAGGCCTTCCCACATTCACTACACCCATGCGGTTTCTCTCCTTTGTGAGCTCGCTCATGTTCAGTGAGCCTGTACTTCTTGTAGAAGGTTTTCCCACACAAGCTACACCCATGGGGTTTCTTTCCTGTATGAATTCTCTTATGCTCAGTGAGCTGAGACTTCTTGAGGAAAGCTTTCCCACAGTCAGTGCATTCATGGGCTTTCTCTATATTGCGTGTTTGCTGATGTTTAAGGAATCGTGACTTAGTGCTGATGGGTTTTCTACTTTCATGGAATTCGATTTCCATAGGCATTTGTTCATGATTATCAAGGAGAAAAGCTCCATCTCCATTAAACTCAGCAGGCTCCTTTCTGTTGTATCTTCTGCTCTGGTTGGTTAAACCTAAATATGATTTCAAAGTTCTTCCATGTTCATAGTGTTGTCCCATCCTCTTCAGTATTCTTTGGTTTTGCAAGTGCTGCTGCAGATGATCATCAGCTTTCTCAATTTCTAAGAGACAGAACAATAAATCCTTCCATGATCATCACATGGAATAAAACTGCTTCAAAGATGCCTCGGGGTTGGCTGGCTTTTTTCTGGAAACCTTATGATACCAACATGGAAGGAATTCCAAGTATAAATGTTCCCTATCTGTTAAAAAACTTTTAAGAATTGCAGTTAAATACACATAAGATAAAATTTGCCGGCCAGGCATGGTGGCTTATGCCTGTAATCCTAGCACTTTGGGAGGCCAAGGCAGGTGGATCATGAGGTCAAGATATCGAGACCATCCTGGCCAACATGGTGAAACCCCGTCTTTACTAAAAATACAAAACACTGGCTGGGCGTGATGGCACACGCCTGTCGTCCCACCAACTCGGGAGGTTGAGGCAGAAGAATCGCTTGAACCTGGGAGAAGGAGGTTGCAGTGAGCCGAGATTGTGCCTCTGCACTCCAGCCTGCCAACAGAGCGAGACTCCATCTAAAAAAAAAAAACAAAAAATTTGCCAGCCAGGCACAGTGGCTCCTGCCTCTAATCTCAACACTTTGGGAGTCTGAGGTGGGAGGATCGCTTGAGCCCAGGAGTTTGAGACCAGCCTGGGCTACATAGGGAGACCCTGTCTCTACAAAAACATTTTTTTTAAATTTGAAAAACAATAATCCTGAGTAGGGAAACAGCAGACATAGGGATTAGAATAAATAGAAAGGCAAGTTAGAATGTTGGATACACAGCATTTGACTTCATCCTAATTCTATTAGACTGTTGGGTGCTAAAATATGCCCTTCTCCATTCTGCAGACCATCATCACACTAACTTTCCTAGAGCACTAATCTCACATGTGCAGGAAAATTGCAGTCAGTACTCTAACCTTTGTTAAAATAGAGATCACAAGACTGATGGAACAGACTCTTTGTGGCAATAAGATACCAAATTATAAACTAGGCCTAAGGACACACAGGCAAGGGCTAAGTCGTACACCCCCTACATTTAAAGAATAAACTATGTTCTAACTGCCATGACTTTTTTGTTCTGTTTTTTTTTCTTTTTCTGTAGCAGCTAATCAAACACTGGCCTTGGGACAAGCAATATTGAAACAATTGCAGCTCCCTGACCACCAGACGCTGACTAACTGATGCCCCTCACCCCCAACAGCATTCCTAACTGCAGCTATGATTGGACAGGAGACTGATCCCAATATCTTTCTCCTGAGAAACACCAGTGAGGCTGTTTTGGTCAGTTGCTGGAGTCTGTGCAGACTTTTCTTATATCCTGTAAAAGACCTCCTAGCATAGAGTCAAATTCCACCTCATTTTAATGTTAAAACTCCACTCCAAAATGAACATGGATATGTTACATATATGTTTGCTTGCTATGCACACGTTTGCTGATTCTCATAAAGATATTCATAAGACTCCCCATCTCTCACTGAACAGGTATGCAAAGCAAATTCTGCAAGGCAAAAAGCCTCCTGCAAGGCAAAAAAAAAAAAAAAAGAGTTTCCCCTCTCTTCAGTGATGTGTGTTTCTTTCACTTCCCCAAGGTCACGTTACTCAGATCTGCAAATCATCTTTTGTTAGAATATAAAGTTTCTCTTTGTCTCCTCGATTTTTCAATTAACACCTTGTATCTACCTGGCTATGACACATTCTCTTATGTTCCAACAGACAGAGAAACACAGCGATCCCTATGGACTTTCAGAACATGCAAGCGGAACACGCGGGCCTCTCCACACAGCTCTGCCACTGCACCACATGTGGAAACTGTCACCTTCTTCATCATGCCCTACTTGCATAGATGTCATATTGGATTTTTTTTTCCACTTTACTGTCCCTAATATACTAATCCCTCACCTTGCCACTAACAGCCTCTACTTCCTGAATTTTGTACTTATGTCTCTGTTGGCATCGGTGAAGGGAACCCTTAAGGAACACCTTCCTACTTCTGAATCAAGACTTGAGGCAGCTTTACTTTTAGTTTTTCTTCAAACATCAACTATACAATATTATTGCTACAATACTGCCACCAGGTGAAAGGTAACCTCTACGTAGAGCTAGAAAAATACACAACTTTACCTCCACCACCATCCTAAATTACTGGCACAGAAAACTCACAGCAGGAGCTGAACAATAAAAGTTTTACCATTACCAGACGCATCCACTTTAACTTCCCACTTGACCGTTTCCCAGCAAATATCTTCTAACACTGGCCTCCATGTGACCAGTTTCAGGCTAATCTCTTTTTTTGTTTTTTGAGATAGAGTCTTGTTCTGTCACCCAGGCTGGAGTACAGTGGCACGATCTCAGCTCACTTCAACCTCTGCCTCCCGGGTTCAAGCAATTCTGCCTCACCCTCCTGAGTAGCTGGGATCACAAGCGTGTGCCACCACACCTGGGTAATTTTTTGTATTTTAAGTTGAGGCAGGGTTTCACCACGTTGGCCAGACTGGTCTCAAACTCCTGACCCTTGGGTGATCTGCCCACCTCAGCCTCCCAAAGTGCTGGGATTACAGGAATGAGCCACCGCACCTGGCCTTCAGGCTAATCTTCTGACAGTCCCCACATGGCCTTGCATTTCCAGCTCTACAACTTCTTGTCTTGTCATAGCTCTTCATCTTAATTCAATGCCTAGCTATATCTCTTGCATAAGATATTTTATCAGTCTGTCATTCTCCATCTTGTCTAGATGAACCTAGAAATGTAGGTTACATTTCTTCTAAAGTCCTACAATTCTTTCTGTATTTACTATTCACTTTATCTTTGTATAGCCCTGAATTGTAACAAAAACATTTCATATGTTCAAAAGTTTAACTTGTAAATATTACATAAAAATTTGCCCTATTTTTGCTAACAAAATCTTTGCTCAAGAAAGACATTTCTGTTTCTCAGTAAATTCAGTCTCCTCTACTATGTATTATGGCTACAGTTCATCAACTCATGGAAACAGCCCCCAAGAGAGCTTCGTGTAAAGACAAGCCCAGGCCCCCAACCCAATTCTAACGAAACCAGACTCGCAGAGCAAGAGGCCTTGGGATGCACAGTGTCATGAAAACTCCTTTAATAAAAGATCTTGCCTTTAAGAAATGCTTAATAGATAGAAAAGTATGATCTCTCTTCAGCCTAGCTAATCTGTCCTTTGATAAAGAAATGCATGAATGACCAAGATGTATTTCAGTCTTACATAAGGAAGAATGAAAACCAGGCCCTTGACTCCAGAGTAGCAAAGGAACCTCAAGCACCACCAAATCCCACTGATATGATATCTATGGGAGTGGCTTGTGTGTGATTGGGGTGCAAAGCAGAATGGGAATCTAGAGATGGAAGATATTATTATATTGTAGTGTATTATAAACCATGTCATGAGAAGAAAATTCAAGGTGAAAAACACATACTGTCAGAATGCAAAAAGCAAACCATAGTCACATACCTATGCCTCAGGTTTGTTTGTTTTTCTGTTTTTTGTTTTGAGATGGAGTCTTACTCTGTCACCCAGGCTGGAGTGCAATGGTGTGATCTCTGCTCACTGCAACCTCCACCTCCTGGGTTCAAGTGATTCTCCTGCCTCAGCCTCCCAAATAGCTGGGACTACAGGAATATGTCACCACGCCCGGATAATTTTTGTATTTTTAGTAGAAACGGGGTTTCACCATGTTGGCCAAGCTGGTCTCAAACTCTTGACCTCATGATATGCCTGCCTCGGCCTCCCAAACTGCTGGGATTACAGCCACCATGCCTGGCCTCCTGTGCCTCAGTTCTTATCTCATTTGATGAATCAGCAACTCTAGACAATGCTTATGGCACTCTCTCTCTCATATAAATGTATATATAAAGTATATATATAAATGTATATACACATATACAGACACATACACATATATATACACACATGCATATACATATAAGTGCTGTTCTAGCAAATTAATCAAACTTGAGGAGAGGGTCTTGGGAACCTCTACTTTACAGCTGGTTGATCAGAAGCTGAGGTGACAACCTGGGACTTGCCACTGGCATTTGAAGTGGGAGACAGTCTTGGACTGATCCCTTAACCTGTGGGATCTGATGCTGCATCAGGTAGATAGTGTCAGAGCTAATTTGAAATAGAGGACACCCAGCTGATGTCTGCTGGAGAATTGTCTGAGGTGTGAGAAAACAACCCCTGTATATCCAGTGGCATAAATGCTGGGTTGAGTGACTATGTGAGACAAAAAAAAAAAACAGTTTGTTGTTTTTGCCTCAGAAACACAAAATGATCCTCTGACAAGTGATGAAGAAGAATGGGAAGATGTGAAAATCCAAGCAAGAAGAACTTAGGGGAAACGACATCCAAGAAGAAATCAATAGGGATCAGTTCAGTTCCAGGAAGGGATAAAGGGGTATGTATGTTTCTCTAAATTCCTATAAGAAAAAGAGCTCTTGTATCATATGGGGAGAAGGATATGTGGCAGCTGTTTCTGTCTCCCTAAACACTTTCACAACTCTCATGCCTTCTCTAAACCACCAGAATGTGACTTTCACTGCCTTCCTCTCTTGCTGGTTCTCTCTCACTTACCTGGATGAGTTGGACTGTGGATTTCATCTTCTAATGCCCAAAGCGGTTCTCCTTGTTCCAACTTGGTGAGGGCATCAGGTTTGCTAGCTTGAAACCCTGTTTGTGGGAAATGGGAGAAGACTTAGGCTCACTGAATTGCACTACGTGGCTCTGATGATAGGAGAAAGGTACATGTTAGGGACTGCATAATTTGCATGTTAGCAAATTAAAGCGTTTTTTTCTAAGATGAAGGAAGATAGTGCCTCTTCCTCTGGGACCAGAGATGGGCCTGAGAATCTGCCATTTGGGAGCACAGCAGACACACCAAAGCTTCCAGAAGCTAAGAAAGCAAAGGCCACTGACTGGGCACCCTCTGAGTGACACAGGGCAGCTGTCCTCACCCACTGACACAAGGTTGCCGTAGTTCTCCAACATCACATCCCGGTACAGATGCTTCTGAGCAGGGCCCAGGAGCTGCCACTCCTCCCAGGTGAAGTCCACAGCCACATCCCTCAGGGTCAGTGATTCCTGTAATAACACAGTCCTGCTTAATATGAAGTGTTTCTCTTTTATTGGCATGGAAGAAATATGAAGTTGTTCTGCCCATTTTCACCATATAAGTTGCACCTGTAGAGTTGTCCCTTGGTATACCCAATGGAATGGTTTCAGGATGCCCCGCATATACTGAAACTGTGCATACTCATGACCCACAGTTGGCCTGCTGGAATCTGCTTATGGCACTCTGTATAAGTGAGTTGTACATCCTGAGAATATTATATTTTTGATTCAAGCTTGGATATAAGTGGACCCTTGCAGTACAAACTCAGCATGTTCACAAATAAACTGTATTCCTAGTTCTTTCAATATACTGTGACAGAAGCAAAGTCATAGTAAAATATTCTATATTTTATGATAACCATGCAGCCATCCATTAATCCAACAAATCGTAAGTTTCTGTAATATGCAACCATTAAATCCTCTTGCTAACATAAGAACATCTGCAGTGTTTTTCAGCACCTACTTGCAACCCTGAACTATATGCTATAGTCATATAGTACGAGCAGAATAATCTAGCATGATTCCCTTTATGTGAACTATACCATGATATTTAGCAAAACAACAAATAAACTATGCAGTGGCCATAAAAAATAAGCCATCATACATGTAAGCACTGACATGTATAGATACATGCATATGTATACAAACGCATGTGTACGCACACATACACACACATGCAGACATAGATGTCCTCACAGGTAAATCCCTAGAACAGGAAGACAAGCATTTGTTAATGACATACTAGGGAATTAGGGAAAAAAGTATATAGAGGGGGAACTTTGTTTTCTCACTATGTGTACTATTTAATTTGAGTCTTTCACATTGAAAAATCTATCCATGGCCGGGCGCGGTAGCTCACGCCTGTAATCCCAGCACTTTGGGAGGCCGAGGCAGGGGGATCACGAGGTCAAGAGATCGAGACCATGCTGGCTAACATGGTGAAACCCCATCTGTACTGAAAAATGCAAAAAAATTAGCCGGACGTGGTGGCGAGTGCCTGTAGTCCCAGCTACTCGGAGAGGCTGAGGCAGGAGAATGGCATAAACCCAGGAGGCGGAGCTTACAGTGAGCCGAGATCGCGCCACTGCACTCCAGCCTAGGTGACAGAGCAAGACTCCATCTCCAAAAAAAAATCTATCCATGAGGTCAGGCGTGGTGTCTCATGCCTGTAAACCCAGCACTTTGGGAGGCGAAGGCGGGTGGATCACCTGCGGTCAGGAGACCAGCCTGGCCAACATGATGAAACCTGGTCTCTACTAAAAATACAAAAATTAGTTGGGCATGGTGGCGCCTAGATGAAGCATGAGAATCGCTTGAACCCAGGAGGCAGAGGTTGCAGTGAGCAGAGATCACGCGACTACACTCCAGCCTGGGCAACAAAGTAAGACTGTATCTCAAACAAACAAACAAACAAAAACTATCGATGAATCTGTGGTTCTTTCTGATACCAAATACACAGTGTCTTTTCCAGCAACACTTCTCCAACCCTTTGATTCTCTGATGCCAACTGGGTATCCTAGAGTTCGATCCTATGCTAACACTAACCACTGAGGGTTATCATCAGACTCTGCAAGTTTAAGGGCTCGGTGCCACAAGACTGCCCTTACATCATGTGCCACTCTGGGGTCCCCACATTATCGCACTTCTGTCCAACTTGACCACAACTGGGGGCTGCCACAACCTTCCTGCTCAGGTTCGATAATTTGCTAGAATGACTCACAGAACTCAGGAAAATGTCACACAATTACAGTTTATTATCTAGGATACAAATGACAGCCAGGTGAAGAAGTACAGAAGTCAAGGTCCAAAGGGTGCCAAGCACAGAAGCCTCTGTTCCTGTGGAATTGCAGCGTACCCTTCCCCCACCCCCCACTTCCACATGTGATGTCCAAACCCCATGGGGGTTTTTATGGAGATTCTACGATGTGGGCATGATTAAATCATCAACCATGGCTGGGCATGGTGGCTCATGCCTGTAATCCCAACACTTCGGGAGGCCGAGGCAGGTGGATCATGAGGTCAAGAGATCGAGACCATCCTGGCCAACATAGTGAAACCCTGTCTCTACTTTAAAAAAAAAAAAAAGGTAGCTGGGTGTGGTGGTGCGCACCTGTAGTCCCAGCTACTCAGGAGGCTGAGGCAGGAGAATTGCTTGAACCCAGGGGGTGGCGGATGCAGTGAGCCGAGATTGTGCCACTGCACTCCAGCCTGGTGACAGAGCGAGACTCTGTCTCAAAAAAAAAAAAAAAAGAAAGAAATAATCAACCATTGGTGACAGAATCTGGAGTTCAGGGGTGGGACTGAAAGTCCCAACTCTGTAATCAAGGCTTGGTCTTTCTGGCAACCAGCCCCATCCTGAGGTCACCTCATTACTATAAAAGGAGCCCACCCTGAGTCACCTCATTACCATAAACTCAGGTATGGTTGAAAGGGGCTGGTTATGAAGAACAAAATACACTCCTATCACTCAGGAAATTCTAAAGGTTTTAGGAGCTCTGTGCCAGGAACCAGAGATAGAAACCAAATATATACACATTTAAAACTATAATGAGTCATTTGCATAATTTTTTCAAGTTAAGGCATTAAAAGAGGTGAGAGGTTAACAACTGGATTTAAAAACAGGGAAGGGCTCTGTATTTTCTGAGACAACATGACATTCTAAAGCAAACCCTGAGGATCTCAGCAACCCAAGCCATTGCCAAAGGGAACTTTCAACTCCCTATGGTCAAATCTGTACTTAAACACCAGTTTAGTGGCCTGTTCAAGGAGCACCTTTGAAAGCAAACCTTGCATTGTTTAGGCAATTAGGTTTATTCACAGATAAACAGACTGCAACAAGGTTGGGTATATAGGCCGCGGTGCTGAGGGCTCCTGAAATACTGTGTTCATTAAATTCTGCTTGGTATAGTCCCAGAGAGGACTCAGAATCATGTAGAAACAGCCACATGAAACTTGCTTGTATATCTTTTGGAAGAAAGCTGTTAAGGACAAAAAGTCTATCTTGTCACCTCTAGCAAAAAGCATCAAATGAAATTTTCCAAGATTTAAGTGCCATGAGATACTGACATCCCCTGAGGAAGGGACCTGCATTCTCCTCAGAATCAGTACACATCATGTAACTTACCATGATTCTCTGGGTGTGATGGTGGCCAAAGATTTTGGACACAAGCTGACACTTAATGTAACCAACAGGGTTCGGCAGAGTCACACATTATATTCCAACACTGGTCACATGTGAGTCATGTGAGCAATGTATTCATGATCCCACTTTGTCCTGGTTAACAGGTACAGTCTAAGTCTGTTTCTCCCCAGAGCTCATTTTTTCCAATTTATACTTTTAATGTAAAGGAACTGATTTCTTCAGACTTCCACAAATCCATCAGGGAATCGAGTTAAGAATAAAACAAACCAAAAGTCACCTGGGCCTCTGTCATTTTCTTCTGTTTCAGGAAATACCCAAGAACTGGGATGCTTCATCTTTGGTTTCTTCTGGATCCTCCCTAAATTTTGGCTAAGAAATCTGAGTTTCCATTTAAGAGTGTTCCCAGAAATGATGACATCCACATCCAGGAACTTCCTCCTTCCTTCACTTGAAGTCTCTTGCTTCTGGGGAGCCAGGATCTGTGGAGTAAAAATCAAGTTCATTTGGTGACACATTCCCTCCGGGCCCAGATGCTGTCTCCGCTGCTTAAACTCTCCTGAAGTCAAGGCCAAGCAATACATCTAAGCATCCCTTTGTCAGGTGTCTCCACATCTTTACATCCCAGGGCAATAAAACAACACTCTGAATGTGGAGAGTCATATGGGAGTGGGCTTAACTAGCAGCCGGCATATCTGGCCACATTCCAGTGCTTCAAAGGAGTGTCTTTCTCCTTAAGCACAGTGTTTACAGATAAAAGAGCAGGTCAACGTGATGGCAATAAGGCGGCTTTCCTCCTCAGAGGCCTCCTGAGGCTTTCCACAATTTATTGTCCCATATTTTTATGACCAGTTTATACTGGCACCCTACAAGCCTTTTTCCCAACAATCTTGAGACACACAGAGAAGAAACACACAGGGAAAAGACAAGGCCGTGTGAAGATGGAGGCAGAGACTGGAGTGATGCTGCCACAAGTCAAGGACACCTGAGAGTCTGTTGGAAAACGGCAGACAGGTGAATGAATGCAGGCAGCTGTGCCAGGGGTCCCTCAAGACCACTCCCAGATGCAGTGATTCACTAGGTGAACTCACAACACTCAGTTTGTAATCATATTCATGGCAACCACTGATTGCTGTGAAAACATACAGAGCAAAGGGAAAAGGTACATGTGGCAAAGTCTGGAGGAAGCCTGACAGAAGTTTCAAGTTCAGTCTCTTTGGAGTCACACAGGATACACTTGATTCCTCCAGCCACAAGTTGTGACAACACATGTGAAAGACCATAGACCAAGGAAGTTTATTAGAGAGAGATTGTGTGCCCATGGTTTTTATTGGGGGCTGATCATGAAGGTGCTTACTGGCTAACATACACCAAAACTCCAGAATCCTAGAGGAAAGCAGGTGTTCAGGATAAACCACATTGTTTGAAAAAACAACTTAGGCACAGTGAGCCACTCTTATTAGGAAACGGTGAGACGGCCTCCAAAAATTTAAGCTCCCAAACGCCAGATGCTATGGTTTGAATGTTTGTGCCCTCCAAAATTCATTGAAACTTACTCTCCAATGCAGTGGTATCAAGAGATGGGCTTTTAGGAAGTGATTAAGTCATGAGAGCTCCTCCCTTGAGAGTGGCATTAAGGCCCTTACACAAGAGGCTTTGGCCAGGCACAGTGGCTCATGCACGTAATCCCAGCACTTTGGAAGGCTGAGGTGGGAGGATCGCTTGAGGCCAGGAGTTTGAGGCTGCAGTGAGTTGTGATTGCACCACTGCACTCTAGCCTGGGCAACACAGCAAGACCCTGTCTCTTTAAAAAAAAAAAAAAAAAGGCCAGGTGTGGTGGCTCACACCTGTAATTCCAGTACTCTGGGAGGCAAAAGTGGGCAGCTCACTTGAGCTCAGGACTTGGCAACATGGTGAAACCCCATCTCTACAAAAAATACAAAAATTATCCAAGCATGGTGGCATATGCCTGTATTCCCAGCTACTCAGGTGGCCAAGGCAGGATTGCTTGAGCCTGGGAGGTTGAGAGGTTGAGACTGCAGTGAGCTATGATGGTGCCACTGCACTCCAGGCTGGGTGACAAAGTGAGACTCTGTATCCAAAAAAAAAAAAAAAAAAAACCTAAAGAAAGAAGAAAATAATAGTAATAATAAAAATAAAAGAGGCTTCACACACAGATCGGCCCTTTTTGCTCTTCCGCCTTCTGCCACATGAGGGCACAGCATTATTCACCTCCAGAGAAATAGCGACAAAACACTATATTGAAAGCAGAAATTGGGACCTCATCAGACACCAAACCTGCTGGTGCTTTGATCTTAGATTTCCCTGTCTCCAGAACTATAACAAATTTCTGTTGTTTATAAAGTATCCAGTCTCAGCTATCTTGTTATAGCAGCACCAACAAGCCTAAGACAGCATCCTACAATTTAATTCAATTCTGAGACTGTGTATCTGGACATAGTGTCAGATACTACAGATTAAGTGCTCAGTTCAAGCCTGCCCCCAACTTCAGATGCAAGTTGCAAGCAGCAGGTTGTCACCTGTATCTCTGATAGACCAGCTATAAATCAGGATTCACACGGCCTCCTCCTCAGGTTTGATTAATTTGCTGGATGGCTCACAGAACTCAGGAAAACACTTAACATTTACTGGTTTATTTTAACCCTTTTCCTGTCTAGAAAAACGAAGTACAGCTTGCTGCCAGCGCTTATTTAATTTGTCATAAATACGCTCTTTGAGGCTGCAGTAAATCTGATTTTCAATGTGGAAATAAAATATAAAAGCTGTTCTCGGAGTTATTTCTAATCAGAACTAACATCAGAATCATCTGAATCATCAGAATTGTCTATTTGGAAAAATCAGCTCCATCTAGCGAGTCTTCAGCCAAGAACTGCTTGAGAATGATGTTAACATCACGTGTAGGAATGCTATGTTTTTTAGGATTTGACATTTTCAGTGATCAAGAACTACCACATTTTGTAAATGGAAATACCACTACTAAAACCAGAATGCTATAAATAGAATGATGTCTTTTATTTCCAAAGTCCATCTACTAGAACAATGTGAAAATAATAAAAGCGAGACCGTTCATGACAAAGTTATCTCGGGGTAAATGCTCCAGCTGTAAGCATCGACGGTGAATATTCTCAGGGCAAATGGGAAAAGGAATAAAGGATATTACAAAGGATACAGATGAAGAGCCAGATGGAAGGGATAGCACAGGGCAAAGTTTGTAGCAAGGGGCGTTGGACTTCCATGCCTTCCAAGGCAGCTTATTAGAGATTCAGTGCACCACCCCTCAGGCACCTCCATCTGCTCAAGAATCTGTAAGTTCCCCAGAAGTTCACCAATCCTTTTGAGTTTTTATGCCAGTTTCATTATATGGGCATACTTGATTAAAACACTAACCACTGGTGATCAACTCAACCTTCAACCTCCCTGTTGCCAGGCAGAGCTAAAATTTCCAACCCTCAAATCACACAGTTGCCCTGGCAACCAGCCTCCCCCATCCTAAGGTCAGCCAGAAGCACCCAGTCACCTGCCATCTCAATGCCACACGAAGACACTTATCCCTGAAGAGGTTCCAAGGGTTTTAGGAGACATGTGCCAGGAAACAGGACAAAGATCAAGCACACATTTCTTATAAATCATAACAATCATAGCTGGGTGCGGTGGCTCACGCCTGTAATCCCAACACTTTGGGAGGCTGAGGCGGGCGGATCACCTGAGGTCAGGAGTTCAAGACCAGCCTGGCCAATATGGTGAAATCCTGTCTCTACTAAAAATACAAAAATTAGCCGGGCATGATGGTGCGGGCCTGTAATCCCAGCCGCTTGGGAGGCTGAGGCAGAAGAATCGCTCGAAACCAGGAGGCGGAGGTTGCAGTGAACTGAGATCTCATCACTGCACTCCAGCCTGGATAACAGAGCTAGATTCCGTCTGGGGGATGGGGGGAAACTTTGATCCTCAAATATTCAAGGAGACTGATGCTTAAGCAAACTAAATATTGCCTGAGAAGGGCTCCATACTTCTATATTTGAGTCCTTGTGGATAAACTGCAGACAAAATTGAAAACCGAACTTAATCGTATGCACCTGTAACAATAGCTGAGCGTTGCCAATCCCAGCGGCCATAGTGATAGAATGCTGAATGTTCCAACGGCGTTCAAATAAGGCAAACGACGAGTGGTAACCAATCTCACTGTTTCTGGACCTCGCTTCCGATTCCTGTATGTCACTATTTTGTCTATAAATTTGTTCTGACCACGAGGCACCCCTGGAGTCTCTGTTAATCTATTGTGATTCTGGGGGCTGCCCAATTCGCGAATCGTTCATTGCTCATTTAAACTCCTTTAAATTTAATTCGGCTGAAAATTTTCTTTCATCACTGATTTGAGTAATAATGAAACTTCGGTCTCCCCGCACAGCCGGCTCTGCATGAATTGCTCTTTCTCCATTGCAATTTCCCTATCTTGACAAATCGGTTCTGTCTAGGCAGCCGGCAAGGGTGGGCGGTTATAGTTTCAAAACTCAACCACCAGCCAGGGGCCTGGGCTTGTAAAATATCAGATTTTACAAGACTCTGAGCCCCATATACCTGGGCCTTCCCTAAACACTTAACACACATCCCTGATTCACCCCAAAACCTACACCAGACACCGTCGTTGGCTGCCCAGCACCCCGGCTTCATCACAGACTTTAAACTGCAGCGTTTGGAGTGATAATAATGGGGTCGGTGGTGAAGCCGGAGTGCTGGGCAGCGTCCCCCTACAGTTCTTGATCCAGTGATCGACAGCCCTACTAACAGAGTGACCCTCAGAGACCCTAAACTCTGACGCCGAATCTCAGTCGCTGAACTCGACAGACCGTTAACGCCCGACCACCAGAACTCTCCCATGCCAGACCGCAAAGGCACCCCAACCCAAAGGCTCCACCGCCCAGGCCGCCAGCTCTCCCCACAGGCTCCTCAGAAGCTCCCTGCCACTTTAACCTACTCCACGGAGAGACCCAAACGCTCACCTGATTTTCTCCTGGCTACACCTAAATTCCGTGATTGCTTCCTTTTCTGGCACTTAAACCCCGGCACTGGCACCGGCCTACGGCGGCCGACGAGGGCGCGAGTCAATTCTGCAGCGCTGGGACGATCGGATTTAGGCTTCTCTTCAGGGACGTAACATGTCCGCACCCTGTGCCACGGCTCTCTGGGCGCGGCCATCTTGGTAGATCTGACGTACAGAAGGGAAACAGTTGTTCTTGTGTCATTAACCCGGGATGGCTCTCCTGACAACAAAAATCTGAAGCGCAGTAAACATTTTCTAGAGTTTATCTGAACAAACAGCAGTTCATGAATTGGGAAGCATCAAACCAAAAGAAGTCTCGTGCTCCTATACTTAAAGCATTAGACGCAAGTATTCATAGGGTGAATGAAGAAGTAAAACAAAGAAATTATCTGACCAGTTACAATTATAAAAATGGATTTTTTTATTTGCCTTGGAAAGTCCCTAATGACATAATAGTATGTGAGTTGGCCGCTTTTGATCGGTTGATATTGAGTTTCGTCTTTCCCTAACACAAGCATTTACCAGAAATGACTCAAGTGAATTGTTGCGTATGTTTGCAGGTTAAGCAAGGTTAAGGCTGTTTTTAAGGTCTACCAGGTTTTGTTTGCTCAGGAGTTTTTCAAGTCTGGTCTGCATTTTAATTTTGCTTTGACACAGGAGACAGTGAAATGGCACTGATGTGTTCCCTCTCCTGACACCTCAACCCCTGCACTGTGAGGTTGGAGCACCAACAACACTGCACAAACCACACAGATATTCAGAGGCTCAAATGGAACCAACGCCAGCACAGTACCAACTATGTCTACCTCAGTGAGCTGGGGAGAGGTGACTGCACCCTTTATTGACTGACTACTAGGAAACTGTCAAGCGGCAGCCCACTGAGCATGGCCAACTTAGGGGAATTTCAGGTGTCCCTACAGCACAAAGTGGGGGAAAAATAGGCCACTTAGCTTGAGTAGTCAAGGCTCATGACAAGTCCCTGCATCTCAGCTACTGACTTTAAAGTTGTGAGTGAGGATCGATATATATACTCATATAAAAGATTGCTTTTTGCTTCAGGCTGTTTGGAAAACACCAAGTACAGAAATTTGAAATTGTGTTCTATGAAAAAACTGGATACAAAAGCCACTATCAAGGTAGGAGGTGGGACTTGACTGAAGAGGCCAGGCTCCAACACCAGACTAAATAGAAGACTAGCTAAAACAGCAACAGGGCAGAAGCAGCTTTTCATAAGACATACCTACTAGTATGCCATGTCATGTTTACCATTTCCGTGGTAACACCTGGGAGTTATTGCTGCTTTCCATGACAAGCTGATGACCTGAAAGTTACCACCTTTTCCTAGAAATTTCTGCATAATCCACCACTTACTTTGCATATAATTAAAAGTGGGTAGAAATATGACTGAAGGGCTGCCTCCGAGCTGCTACTCTGGGAATACTGCTCCACAAGGAGCAGAACCTCTGCTGCTGCTGTGCATTGCCACTTCAATAAAAGATGCTATCAAAGGCTGGGTGCAGTGGCTCACGCCTGTAATCCCAGCATTTTGGGAGGCCAAGGCAGGCGGATCACGAGGTCAGGAGTTTGAGACCAGCCTGGCCAATATGGTGAAACACTGTCTCTACTAAAAATACAGAAATTAGGCTGAAGACTATCATTCTCAATAAGGTATCACAAGGATAGAAAACCAAACACTATATGTTCTCACTCATAAGTGGGAGTGAAGAGAACATATGGACACAGGGAGGGGAACATCACACACTGGGGCCTGTCAGGGGGTGGGAGACTGGGGGAGGGATAGCATTGGGAGAAATACCTAATGTAAATGATGAGTTGATGGGTGCAGCAAACCAACATGGCACATGTATACCTATGTAATGAACCTGCACGTTGTGAACATGTACCCTAGAACTTAAAGTATATTTAAAAAACAAAAAACAAAAAACAAAAATTAGACAGGTGTGGTGGCACATGCCCGTAGTCCCAACTACTCAGGAGGTTGAGGCAGGAGAATTGCTTGAACCTGGGAGGCGGAGGTTGCAGTGAGCTGAGATCGCGCCACTGCACTCTGGCCTGGACGGCAGAGTAAGATTCCATCTCCAAAAAAAAAAAAAAAAAAGTGTCTATCTAACAGCAATGTGGGGCCCCTGAATTCTTTTGAAATGTAACATGAAGGCTTTTTGTAAAATGAAGTTAGTTATGTCAATGTCAAGGGTGCTCTGTACATGTTGGGAATTCAAAACAGACAACTCCCCATTTTTCCCTTCCCCCCCCCCAAGATGGGGAGTCTCACTCTGTCACCTGGAGTGCAATGGCATGATCTTGGCTCACTGCAATCTTGTGACCCACTACGCTTGGCCTTAATATTTTCTATTATAGTTTATGTTAACTCTTTTTAAAGAAATCCTTCCCCACATTAAGATCATAGAAACATTATCTTATATTTTCTTCTAACACTTTTAGAGTTTTACTGTTCAATTCAGGTTTCCAGGGGTTAGCAAACTGCTGCTATGAGCCATATCCAGTCCACAGCCTGCTTTGCCCTTGAGCTAAGATTGGTTTTTAGTATTTTTAAAGAGTAAAATAAATAGAATATACAACAGAGATCGTATGCAGCCTGCAAAGCCTGAAATACTTACTATCTGGTCTTGCTCCAAAATAGTCTGCTGACTTTTATAGTCTAATACAGGAAACATTGATTTATGTAGGATATGAAGTGGCACCTGTAATCCCAGCCACTCAGGAGGCTGAGGCATGAGAATTGCTTGAACCTGGGAGACAGAGGTTGCAGTGAGTGGAGACTGCACCACTGCACTCCAGCCTGAGCAACAAAGTGAGATTCCGACTCAAAAAAACGAAACAAAACAAAACAAAACAAAACTCCCCTTGAGGTGCATTTACCAGCTTGCTTACACTATCTTTTTTTTTTAGACAGTCTTGCTGTCACCTAGGCTGGAGTGCAGTGGTGCGATCTCAGCTCACTGCAACCTCTGCCTCCTGGGTTCAAGTGATTCTCCTGCCTCAGCCTCCCAAGTAGCTGGGATTACAGGTGTGCATCACCACACCCAGCTAATTTTTGTATTTTTATTAGAGACAGGGTTTCACCATGTTGGCCAGGCTGGTCTCAAACTTCTGACCTCAGGTGATCCACTCGCCTCGGCCTCCAACAGTGCTGGGATTACAGGTGTGAGTCACTGTACCTGGCCTGTGTTTTGAAAATAGATGGATGATCTCTGTTTAAAAAGTCTGATTTTGGCTGCAACTGTGTATATAAAAGACCCCTCAGCAATCTTGTGCCTTGGTTCCCCTGAAACAGACACCTCACCTATATTTAGTGGTTGGTGATCTGGAGACAAATAGTATCCTGTGTGACTGAAAAAGATCCCTGGAATCTGTGCCTGTGTGTCTCAGAACACCATCATATTTACCTGTATTTTATTTCATTGGATTTTATTTTTCATGCTATATTGTAGCCTTTGTCTTTCTTGGAGTCTTATGTAAATATAACTTGTGGAGTCATGTGAGACTGTTCAACATCTTACCCTGAGTAACTGCCATAATTGCAGTCACCTATTTTAAGGAAAAACATTGTGCTTGAAAGGAAACATATTTTTGTAAAATTAAAATCAAGTTCAATGTATTTTAGAATTTATTCTCAATTTAAGAAAACAGTTTAGGAGACTTTCCTGCTACATTCTAGAGAGGGATTAATAAAAACATGTCTTACATTTGGCTTATGACGTTTCAAAGGGAAACACATCTTGCACACCTTGTTGCTATGAAGGAAAGAGAAGCTTATTTTATTTGACTATAGGATCAAGCCACATTATCCATTCATGCAATAAAACCAGGACTGCAACAATTATTTAATTTCCATCTCTCTGATATCAGGGACTATTTCTCAAACTATTTAGAATTCAGAAGGGGCATGAAACCTGGAAGACTCATTTTCCTCAATCCCCAAATATTTCGTTGGTTTACAAGAAACAAAACCCTGTATAAAGACGATGGCTTCTACTATATTTCATCCAATCTGAGATACCTTTGGTTGTACGGCACACCACAATTTTATACACCAAGTTCTTCATTTAAATATGTTAAGCCATCAATTGTATGCCACATTATTTTAGCAGTGGTAATATGTTGGAAAAATGTCTACCTTAGAATTCATGAGACAAAGTTTTACCCAAGAGCAGCACAACATCTTCCAGACCCATTTACAAATACTAGCAAACACTAGGGGCATGAAGATATATAGTATTGTAATGAGTTTTTTACTAAAACAATGAACCACTGCAGTTCTGTGGGAACCCGAAAGCCTAAGGGTCATGACTGGCTGAGCATTCCACTGGAGGCTTTATGATCAAACAGCAAACTGTTTACCATGAATGCAGAACGTGAGCAAACTCATATCTGCACCTGCTGCCAGAAGGTATGCTGAGGGCAATCACTCCCTGGTGCTGTGCTCCTTGAGATTATCTATTGGGACATCTGGAGCCTACTGTTCAAAGAATGCAGTCATGCAGGCCTGTACTAAATCAAGCAGCTGACTGACAACCACCCCCTCCTCATTTTCTTTACTCAGTAAATATGAAGTGCTGTAGAAGCTCAGAGCCCTTGTTCACTAGAAGCAAGGAGCCCCCGACCCCTTATTCCAAAGATATTCTTTTGTGTTTATCTTTATTCCCGCATTCATCCTCCTTTGTTCAGTCCAGTAGGGTCCATGGCACAGTTCAATTATAATTTACATAGCATTATACAAAGATTCAATGCAGATATTCTATGGGAAGGCTTTATGCACATTTAAGCATACATACTACAAATTCACAATTGTGATGTGAACACATGCAGTTCCCAAATATGAACAATCATTTTTATAATAAAAATAGGTACGAAACACTTAAATATTTGGTATTGTTCTGATATTTTTTGCTTTGTTTTCTAACAAGCATATTTATTTACATATTTAATACTTTCTATAATGCTGATTATATAATGAGAGCAAAAAAAAATAGAGATGAAAAAGCATGATTTCCCAGATTCATTAACATACAAATTTATTTTTTCTTTTCTTTTCTTTTTTTGAGACAGGCTATCACCCAGGCTGGTGAAATCTTGGTTCACTGAAACCTCCACCTCTTGGCTCAGGTAATTCTCCTGCCTCAGCCTCCTGAGTAGCTGGGACTACACATGTGCACCACCATGTCCAGAAAATTTTTGTACTTTTTGTAGAGACAGGGTTTCACCATGTTGAAAATGCTGGTCTTGAACTCCTGAGCTCAAACGATCCTTCCACTTTGGCCTTCCAAAGTGCTGAGATTTATCTCACCTAAAGTACAGAAATTCTCCCTTGGTGTCAATTATCTGAAACTGATGTAACTGCATTTTATGCCAACAACATCCCCACAATCAATAATACACAGATGTTCCTTCCTGTTTGTTCCCACTGGCTTATATTCAGTTGACATTTATTGGAAAAGGTATTACTTCCCGACTGGCATCATGCCCAGCACTATTCTCTGATAAGAAATGATGTATAAGCTTGAAATTAAAGTTTGTTCACGTTTTCTGCAGCCTTGAGGTTTCACTCCTATGTTAACCTTGTGGTATAATGAGCTAGCTCTTCTCACTGCAAACTTTCAGATATTCACTTCATTTATGATTTCTCTCCTGTGTGTGTTTTCTGATGTAGAATGAGGCTGAATTTGCGGGAGAAGGTTTTCCAACACTCAGTGCATTCGTAAGGTTTCTCACCTATATGCGTTCTTTGATGTATAATAAGATGTGACTTCTGGGCAAAAGATTTCTGACATTTGCTGCATTCATGGGGTTTCTCTCCTGTATGTGTTTTCTGATGTAAAACCAAGCGAAACTTGATGGGGAAAGTTTTCCCACATTCACTACATCCATAGGGTTTCTCTCCTGTATGGATTCTTTGATGACTAGTGAGACTAAACTTACGAGAGAAAGTCTTCCCACACTCAAGGCATTCATAAGGTTTCTCTCCCGAGCGAATTCTCTGATGGATCAGGAGATAGGACTTCCGACTGAAGGCTTTGTGACATTCTCTACATTCGTAAGGTTTCTCTCCAGTGTGAGACTGCTGATGAATATTCAGGTGTGACTTTTGGCTGAAAGCCTTCTGACACTGACTGCACTCGTAGGGTTTTTCCCCTGTATGAGTTCTTTGGTGTAGGATGAGACTAAACTTGATGGAAAACATTTTCCCACATTCATTGCATCCATAGGGTTTCTCTCCCGCATGAGTTCTCCAGTGAGTATTGAGGAATGACTTTACACTAAAGCCTTTTCCACATTCACTGCAGTGATACGGTTTCTCTCCTGTGTGAGTTCTCTGATATCTACTGAACTCAGATCTCTGGATGAAGGCTTTCCCACATTCATTACACCCATACGGTTTTTCCCCGGTATAGGTTTTTTTTATGTAAAATGAGGCTAAACTTAAGGAGGAATGTTTTTCCGCACTCATCACAACCATAGGGTTTCTCTCGTGTGTGAGCTCTCTGATGGATCATGAGCTGTGACTTATTGCTGAAGCTTTTCTGACATTTGCTGCATCCATAGGGTTTCTCTCCGGTAAGAGTTATTTGATGTAAAGTGAGTTTTGACTTATCACTAAAACCTTTCTGACATATACGACACTCAAAGCATTTCTCTCCTGTGTGAGTTATTTGATGTTTATTAAGGCATGACTTATCAGTAAAAGCTTTCCGACATTTATTGCACTCATAAGGTTTCTCTCCTGTATGGGTTCTCTGGTGTAAAATGAGACAGGACTACCTGCTGAAGGCTGTCTGACATCTACTGCATCCACAGGGCTTCTCTCCTGTGTGGGTTTTTTGATGCTTAATGAGGTCTGACTTCTGGGAAAAGGCTTTCCCACAGTCACTGCAGTCATACTGTTTCTCTCGTTTTTGAGGTTTCCAGCGTTTTATGAGCTGTGACTTACGACTGAAAGCCTTTACACATTCATTATATTCATTGTATTTCTCTTCAGCATGAATTTTCTCATGCTTAGGATAAAGAAAAACTTCATCATACCCATTACATTCACCTTCATTTCTTGCATAGTTTCTATTTTGAATAAAGTACTCTAGATTAGGATTCAGGTGTTTCCCAAGTACAAAAGGGGTATGAAGGTTTGAGCTCAGATGAGATATTATCTTGCCAAATGTATGATATTTGTGGTGCCTCTCCATAGTTTCAAGGCTGCTTTGGTTTTCTCGGTGCCATTCTGTGTGATCATTGAATTGCCAGACATCTTCTAGAAAGGAGACCAATTAATCCACTTCATCATGTAATAAAAGGGGTAGATGTTCACAGCAAGGGCCAAGGAGAGAAGAGGAAGTGAAACAGGGCAGAGAATGAAAGTCTGAGACATTTATAAATGGAAGAAGAAAAGAACAGAAGAAACTATGAGAGGTATGAAACACACATAAAATGAAGATAAGGGAGGAAAATTTAGGAATACTTGAAAATGGGGCTATGACTATGGATTAGGGGGATGGAGACAGGGAAAAGCAAGTAAACTAAACATGCCAGGGAGAAAGTTTAACCAGGAAAACAAGTTCTGAGATGAGCCAGAGAGGGATTTGATCAGAGTACCTAAAAGAAGAACATGGATTCTTTTAAAAGTCAAGCAAAGGAGTTCTAATATGGAGAGATTAAAAAGTGGAGGCAATATTAAGGTATGTGAGGAGCTTATGTCAGCTGTTCTTAGTCACATTCACAGCTTTAAGAACTTCAAAAACATTTCTCCAAACAGCATTTCAGAGGTGCCCCCCTATTTCTGTTTAACTGGGGTATTACTTCAAGTTCCCCTACAGGACTGGTTTTTCACTTACCTGGACAAACCTGACTCTAGATTTCTTCCTCTAGTAATCCATGGTTTTCCTTGCTCCAACCAGAATAATGCATCTGCTTTGGCAACCTGATACCCTAGAAAAGCATCAAGGAAAATCATAAAGGACACATGAATGCAAATACTAGGGCTACGAGACTTCTGAAAAATTATGTACTTTTTTTTTTTTTTCAGCTGGAGTCTCACTCTGTCTCTAGGCTGGAGTGAAGTGGTGTGATCTTAACTCACTGCAACCTCTGCCTCCTGGGTTCAAGTGATTCTCCTGCCTCAACCTCCCAAGTAGCTGGGACTACAGCTGTGTGCTACCATACCCAGCTAATATTTCTATTTTTAGTACAGATGGGATTTCACCATGTTGGCCAGCATGGTCTCGATCTCTTGACCTCATGATCCGCTCCCCTTGGCCTCCCAAAGTGCTGGGATTATAGGTGTCAGTCACCACGCCCAGCCAAAGATTATATTTAAGGGGTTAAATAATTTCTATCTGGGCCAAGTAAAGGCCTTTAACGTCTTTTGGAAATGAGAGAAAAACACTCTGTTAGAGGCCAGAAAAGTACTAAAAATCTATGATGTATTAAACTGAAGTCTAAAAAAAGTAAAGTATTTGTGAGGCCTGACCCTTTTTAATTACTCAGAAAGGAAGCGCAAATGATTGCCTACACTACCCAGAAAAACTATGCTTACCCAGTGATACCAGGTTGCTATAATTTTCCAACATCACATCTTGGTACAGATTCTTCTGAACAGGGTCCAGTAGCTGCCATTCTTCTCAGGTGAAACCCACAGCTACATCCTTGAATGACAGTGAGCTCTGTAATAGAACATTCCTATTCAAATTCTAAAGAATTACCATTGTGTAATGCTATTAATATAAATGATAATTTCTTATAATACATTTTCCCAGAGTAAGTTATTTGGCTGCCTTCCGTGTAACTAGTTTTGCATTATAATATATAGGAAAAACTGTTTTAGTTAAAATATCCTGTTTTGGTACTTCCATTCATTCACTGATTCACATATTTAATCATTCATTCGCAAAAGAGAAACAGAACCTCCTTACATCCTTTAATAAAGTATTTAATCTGCAGTCCCCAACTTTTTTGGCACCATGGATTGGTTTTGTGGAAGATAATTTTTCCACATATCGGAGCAAGGGGATGGTTTGGGAATGATTCAAGTGCATTACATTAATTGTGTACTTTATTTCTATTATTATTACATTGTAATATATAATGAAATAATTATACAACTCACCATAATGTAGAATCAGTGGGAGCCCTGAGCTTGTTTTCCTGCAACTAGATGGTTCCAGCTGGGAGTGATGGGAGACAATGACAGATCATCAGGCATTAGATTCTCATAAGGAGTGTGCAACCTAGATCCTTCGCATGTGCAGTTCATAACAGCGTTGAGCTCCTAGAAGTATCTAATGCTGCCTCTGATCTGACAGGAAGGGGAGCTCAGACGGTTATGCACATGATAGGGACTGGCTGTAAATACAGATAAAATTTGCTCACTGGCCTGGCCCATTTCCTCACAGGCCATGGACCAGTAGCAGGGGTTGGGAACCCCTGTTCTAGAGAATCATTCAGCCTGAGGGTGAGCAAGAGACACTCAGCAAAAATTCACTCAAATTCACATTTAGATATGCCAATGCTGATACAGGAAACCATAAGAATACACAAAAATGTTTCGAGATTGATTATTTTAAAGATGGTGAAAAAGGATTAAGACAGAACTTTCAGGTTTTGCACTATAAACTTCTACATTGTTTGAAAGCTTGATACTGTGAATATTTTCTTTTTTGAAATTCATTCAAGTTGGAGAAGTATTATAAAGATGATGATTTTGTTTAGAGACAGGGTATTGCTCTGTTACCCAGGCTGGAAGGCAGTGGCATGATCATAGCTCACTGCAGCCTTGACATACTAAGCTCAAGCGATCCTCCCACCCCAGCCTCCTGAGCAGCTGGAACTACAGGTGTGTGCCACCATGCCCAGCTAACTTTCATATTTTTTTGTAGAGATAGGGTCTCACTATGTTCTCCAGCTGGTTTCAAAGTCCTGGGCTCAACTGATCTTCCCAACTCAGCCTCCTAAAGTGCTGGGATTACAAGGGTGAGCCACCACTGCCCAGCTGACATTGTGAATATTTTGAGCTTAATATAATTGGAATTGTTTTTTTTTTTTAAAAAAAGAAGTAGGTAAGTATTGGCCTTGAACAGAGAGCTGACACTGCATTCTCAGGTATGAAGAGATTATGAAGGAAAAATCTAAGACTCTGTCAACATAACTTGGAACTGTTTACTAATCAATGTAAATAGGAGTTTCTCTACCTCAGCACTACAGTTTGAGCATACCTGATTCAAAATTCTGAAACCTATAATGCTCCAAACTCTGAAATTCGTTTGAGGGCTGACATGATGCACAAAGGTCACACTCAAAGACCAGGATATTTCAAATTTTGGATTTTCAGAGTAGGGACGCTCAACTAGTAAGCATAATGCAAGCAGTCTGGAAAAAAAAAAAAAATCTAAAATCTGAAACACTTCCAGTCCCAAGCATTTCTGATAAGGGATGCTCAATCTGCATTTGTTGGAGGCCAAGAAAATGGGGTCATGACCAATTCAGTATACCACTGGAGGCTATATGAGCAAACAGAAAACTGTTCTCATGAAAGTAGGATGTTGGAAAACTGACAATTTGCATTGCCTCCAGAAGGAGTGCCCGGGCAGTCATACCCCAGGCACAGTGTTCCTTGTGGTTTGTAGGGAGCCAAAAGCCCGTGGGACATGATCAACTCAGAATTCCACTGGAAGCTATATGATCAAACAGCAAACTGTTTTTCACGAATGCAGGATATGAGCGAACTCATGACTGTGCCTGCCGACAGAAAGTTTGCTGGAGGCTATCACTCCCTGGCGCTGAGGTTATCTACTGCGACATCTAGAGCCTGTTGTTCATGGAATGCAGTCTTGCAAGCCTACTCTGGACCAACCAGCTGACCCCTTCTTCCACCCCCCTTCTCACTATCTCTTTTGCCTAATAAATATGGAGGGCTGTGTAAAGCTCAGGGCCCTTGCCACTAGAGGCAAGGTGCTCCCTGACCCCTTCTTCCAAATACATTCTTTTGTCTCTTGTCTTGTATTTCCACATTTGCCCCCCTTTGTTCAGTCCACCAGGGATCGTGGCAGGTTACATAGTGCCCCCCCGACCCCGGAATAGTGACAGAATCGGGTGCTCCACATTGGTCATCTATAGGAATATCTGAAGACTGTTGTATAAAGAAAGTAATTTTGTATACCTGTGATGAATCAAAGCAGCTGACCAACCATTACCTCTCTCTCCCTATTGATTCCACCTAATAAATATGAAGGGCTGTAGAAGCTCAGGGCTGCCTTTGCTCATTAGAAGCAAGGAGCCCCCGATCCCTTCTTTTAAGATGTATCTTTTTGTCTTTGTCTTCACTTCTACATTCGTCCCCCTTCATTCAATCCTGTAGGAACAGACTGCGACATGCACTGACATTTTGGTTTGGAGAATTCTTTATTTTAAGGCCCGGTAGTGTCATCACAAGATGCTTAGCAGCATTCTTAGCCTCTATCCACTAGCTGCGATTAGCACACCCTCCTTTCCCAGGTGTGACAATCCAAAATGTCTCCAGACATTGCCAAATGTCACCTAGGGTCAAAACTGGTCTGAAAATGGAAACCACTGAGAAAAAAAAAAAAAAGAATATTGAGGACTCTTTGTGGAAGACCATACAATGGTCATAGAATCCATCCATCTTAAAAATCTCTACCTGAAAAAAAACCAGACCATCAGGAGGCTGTGAACTTTGGCTACACTGTTTTGGTATCCCTGAAAAAAAACACAGACCATCAGGAGGCTGTGAACTTTGGCTACACTGTTTTGGAGCCCTGAAGCACTCTGATCACTGAGTTTGGTTTTGGTATTACACCACTGGCTTCTCTGTGGAGGGCACTAACTTCTACATGATCTATGTGATGACCCATCAAATAAATTTCTTCTTATTTAAGTGACATGAAATATTTACTTTTCTAGAGGAGCTTTATCCTCAGGTGTCCGGAGCTGCGTGGCCCGGCCATAGCGATTATAACTGACGACTGACGCCTGAGCTCTATACATTTCCACTTTATGCCTCCTCCCTAGATTTACTTTCTTCCTTGTTCTGCTGTCTCATACGCCAGTACAAAATGGCGCTCTTCCAGGTTCTTCATCACCCATTTTCCCGTGCCCGGGAAAATGATCAACTTACAGCGCAGGCGCCATCCCGCGCCCGGGAAAATTACCAAGCGACGGCGCAGGCGCAACATGACGTCCGACCAAAGAAACCAATACCTACCTGGCCATGCCCACTGCAGGGCCACCATCATCGCCCTGGCCCAACCTCCACCCTTGCTGGTCTATATAAGGCATTACATTGCCACCAATAAACGAGACTTGATCAGGATACTGTCTTGTCTCCATTTCTCGTGTCTCTTGTCCCCCCGAGTTCCCACTCCCTCTTCTAGGGCCTACATTGATGATCCCGTGGGTCGGGACACTCAGGGAGAAGGAAACAGTTTCTTACTGTGCCCATGTGGTAGACTGCATTTCCCAAAGAGGACCACAATAATATCTCACATTCCAAAGAAAACCTTCTGCAAAACCTTGCCGCTCCCACACAAAGCGATGGAACCTATTCCCTTCCCCCTCGAATCTGGCTTGTCTTGGTGATTTGCTTGTACCCACAGAATGCAACAGAGGTGACACAACATAACTTCTGAGGCTAAGGCAGAAAAGTGTGGGGGAAAGAAAGAGAGATCAGACTGTTACTGTGTCTATGTAGAAAAAGGAAGACATAAGAAATTCCATCTTGTTCTGTACAAAGAAAAATTCTTCTGCCTTGAGATGCTGTTAATCTGTAACCCTAGTCCCAACCCTGTGCTCACAGAGACGTGAGCTGTATTGACTCAAGGTTTAATGGATTTAGGGCTGTGCAGGCTGTGCCTTGGTGAAAATGTGTTTGCAGGCAGCATGCTTGGTAAAAGTCATTGCCATTCTCCAGTCTCGAGTACCCAGGGACACAATGCACTGCAGAAGCCACAGGGATCTCTGCCCAAGAAAGCCTGGGTATTGTCCAAGGTTTCTCCCCACTGAGACAGCTTGATATATGGCCTCATCGGAAGTGAAAGACCTGACCATCTCCCAGCCCAACACCCATAAAGGGTCTGTGCTGAGGAGGAACAGTGAAAGAGGAAGGTCTCTTTGCAGTTGAGATAAGAGGAAGGCATCTGTCTCCTGCTCGTCCCTGGGAATGGAATGTCTTGGTGTAAAACCCAATCATACATTCTATTTACTGAGATAGGAGAAAACTGCCTTATGGCTGGAGGTGAGACATGCTTGTGGGAATACTGCTCTTTACTGCACTGAGATGTTTGTGTAAAGTCAAACATAAATCTCGCTTATGTACACATCAAGGCACAGCACCTTTCCTTAAACTTATTTATGACACAGAGTCCTTTGTTCATGTTTTCCTGCTGACCCTCTCCCCAGCATTACCCTATAGTCCTGTCACATCCCCCTCACTGAGAATAGTAGAGATAGTAATCAATAAATACTGAAGGAACTCAGTGACCAGTGCCAGTGTGGGTTCTCCATATGCCAGTTCCCTGGGCCCACTTTTCTTCCTCAATACTTTGTCTCTGTGTCTTATTTCTTTTCTCAGTCTCTCATCTCCACCTTGTGAGAAATACCCACAGGTGTGGAGGGGCAGGCTTCCTTCATCTGGCGCCCAAGGTGGGGCACAAACCCACGACCCTGAGATTAAGAATCTCATGCTCTACTGGGTGAGCTAGCCGCAGAATGCAACAGAAGTGACACAACATAACTTCTGAGGCTAAGGCAGAAAAGGCCCTGTAGCCTCATCTTGGCTGTCTCAGAGCCAGCACCATGCTGTGAGAAGCCCATCCACGCCACACGAGAAGGTCACACACAGGTGCTCTGGCTAGCAGCCTCAGCTGAGCCTAGTTTTCAAGTAATCTCAGCCTGGCACATAGAAACAGAGAGGATGAAGCCTTCAGATGATTCCAGTCCCTAACCTTCTGAGTCTTCCAGCTGAGATTCAAGACATCATGGTGTGAAGACAAGCTGTGCAGTAAAGGATTAACAGAGTGAGTTTAATGTTACACATAAACTGAACATTCCAAAGAAAGGCTCAGCCCTTGCCTGTCCCTGGGAGGTAACTTTTAAATCAAGCTTTTCCAACCTGTGGACCATGGGGTGCACGTGGCCCAGGAGGGCTTTGTTTTGTTTGTTGTTGTTGTTGTTGTTTGAGACAGAGTTTCACTCTCTCGCCCAGGCTGGAGTGCAGGGGCACAATCTCAGCTCACTGCAACCTCCAACTCCCAAGTTCAAGCGATTCTCCCACGTTCAAGCAATTCTCCCACTTCAACCTCCCAAGTAGTTGAGATTACAGACATGCATCACCATGTCCAGCTAATTTTTTGTATTTTTTAGTAAAGATGGGGTTTCACCATATTGGCAAGGCTGGTCTCGAACTCCTGACCTCAAGTGGTCTGCCCACTTTGGCCTCCCAAAGTGCTGGGATTACAGGAATAAGCCACTGTGCCTGGCCTCCAGGAGGGCTTTGAATGCAAAACAAATTTGTAAACTTTCTTAAAACATTATGAGATATTTTAGTTTTTCTTTTTTCTTTTCTTTAAGCTCATCAGCTGTTGTTAGTGTTAGTATATTTTATGTGTGACCCAAGACAATTCTTCTTCCAGTGTGGCCCAGGGAAGCCAAAAGACTGGACACTCCTACTCTAAGCCATTGGAATATATGGTCTGATGAGTGTCTTTGTTTGCTGGGAGCCTTGGGTCACATAAGATTATGCATGCTAACAATGTATGATGGGAGCCTTGGGCCACACCGCAGTATAGTGGCCTCTGAAGGGGCTGAAGAATAAGGTCAGCCACTCATGTGGTCAGCCTCGCCCATAATAACTAAAGCCAAATAAAAACCCTGGACACCCAGGCTCAAGTGGGCTTCCTGGACTGGCAATATGTCATGCCTGTTGTCACACATCATGGCTAGGACAATCAAACATTGTCCGTGTAACTCCACGGCGAGAGGAAAATGCGAAGCTTCTGCACAGAATCTCCCAAAACTTGCCCTACACACCTTTCTCTGTTTCCTGCCACATCCCCCTCACTGAGATGGTAGAGATAGCCATCAATAAATACTGAGAGAACTCAGAGACCGGTGCTGGTACAGGTCCTCTCTATGCTGAGTGCTGGTCCCCTGGGCCCATTTTTCTTTCTCTATACTTTGTCTCTGTGTCTTATTTCTTTTCTGTCTCTTGTCCCACTTGAAGAGAAATACTGACAGGTGTGGAGGGGCTGACCTCCTTCACCTCATAAATATTGAACAAACATAATATCCTTTTTTTTCCCTTTTTTTCAAATATGAGGTCTCACTATGTTGCCCAGGTTGGTCCCGAACTCCTGAGATCAAGTGATCCTCCCACCTCCGCCTACCAACGTGCTGAAATTACAGGTGTGAGGCCACTGTGCCCAGGCTCATAATATCCTTTTAATTATGAGCATTATGAAACCTCTTCAAATCCACTGGAAAACCAAGTAGGAAGTCAAAATATACATGTATAACTCACTTGGGACTTGGACATTTTCTGGTGCCCTTAGATACAGCCAGCAACGGGAATATTTGTTCTATTGTTGACTCTGGCTCTTCTCTGAAGCTGGTCACTGGTCAAGGATGATGTATTGATCTTAATACCTTCACTTCCTTCCCTTATAGGAAATATTTTATCCCAGAAAGCCAGGACCTGAGGATTAAAGGAATTCACTGCCTTAGTAAACTATGATTATAACAGATGTTTTGCATTGTTTGAGTTGTGTATATGTGTGCTTTAGATATACACATATACACAATTATTTAACTGTTAACTGTGTTTTCTTCAGGTGATAGGTTAATCTAATAATTTAAAGGAAAAAAAAAGTAACACACAGTACCAGAAGGTTGGTTTTACAAGAAACACAATTATTTTATATAGCAAACACCAACCAAGTCATCTTCATTAAATTATGAAATCCTGCCAAAAACTATACCCAAAGGTTTTCATTTGGAAAAAGACAGTTATAAAGAGAAAGGGGGAGAAAAATCAAAGCAGAAAATTTTAAAAGCCAAAAAAAATCCAGAGAAACAGATAGAAGAAGTGGAATATTGTTTGTTAATCCATCTTGGGTACTTACTATGTGCTAAGTATTTTTACTATATGAGTAGTTATTAATGATTTTGTTTTTATACAAATAAAAAAAGAATCTCAGAGAAGTTAAAAAACTCGTCCATGTTCTCACAGTATAAATGCAGAATACAGATAAAAACCTAGGTCTGCTCAAATTCAAAGTCTGTATGCTTTGCTGAGTCAAACTTACCTGTAGATGTTCTGACTGCTTCCCTAGAAAACCTATACTTAAACGTATTAGTAATATATTAATAAAACATATTAGTAATAATGCATATTACTAAATAATAAAACATATTATTTATTATTAAATAATAGTAATAAAACACATTAGTAATTGTAGAGAGCCAGAGGCTGGGGAATTGTGACCAAGTCAGCATTCCACTGAGGCTATATGATCAAACAGCACATTGTTTATCATGAATGCAGAATGTGGGCAAACTCGCTTCTGTCCCGGCCCCAGAAGGTTTGCTGAGGGCCATCACTCCCTGGCGCTGGGATTCTTGAGGTTATGTACTAGGACATCTAGAGTTTATTGTTTGAGGAATGCAGTCTTGCAGGCCTGCCCTGGACTGACAACCACCCCCCTTCTCGCTACCAATAAATCCTAAGAGAGCTCAAAGTTCAGGGCCCTTGTTCACTAAGAGCAAGGTGCCCCCGACCACTTCTTCCAAATACACTCTTTTGCCTTTTGTCTTTATTCCCTCATTCGTCCTCCTTTGTTCAGTCCAACAGGGTCCGCGGCATAGTGGCTCAATGAATGGCGACAGAATCGGATGACATAGTCACGTCCAAACACAGGGACACAAGGACATGAATGAAGAAGGTCTGCTAGAGCAGAGGAACTGAAATTGACAAGATGAATGGGGACCCCGGGACGAGTTGGCTGGCAGCAGATATGAGGTCAGTACCTAAAGAGGTACTGTGAGCACTGCTTTAAAGAAGTACTGGGAATGGGAAGTTTTCTGAATCAGGGTAACATGGGGCAGAATTTGTCTACTGAAGAAAAACACTATGTGCAGTTGCTTAAAGTTTTACTTAAACAAACTGGTGCTCAGGTGTGAGGAAAAGAGAGATCAGACTGTTACTGTGTCTATGTAAAAAGAAGTAGACATAAGAGACTCCATTTTGTTCTGTACTAAGAGAAATTCTTCTGCCTTGAGATGCTGTTAATCTGTAACCCTAGCCCCAACCCTGTCATCACCATTCTCTAATCTCAAGTACTCAGGGAAACAATAATACACTGCAGAAGGCCGAGGGACCTCTGCCTAGGAAAGCCAGGTATTGTCCAAGGTTTCTCCCCATGTGACAGTCTGAGATATGGCCTCGTGGGAAGGGAAAGACCTGACTGTGATGATGGATAATTGAGTTGTTTTCACTTCAGGCTATTATAAATAATGCTGCTATAAACATTCATGCACAAATTTTTGTATGGACATGTTTTTATTTCTCTTGGATATAAACCCGGGAGTGAAACTGTCGGATCATATGGTTAGTATGTTTAACCATTTGAGGAACTGCCAGATTATTTTCCAAAGTGGCTGCACCATTTTACATTTCCACCAGCAGTATGTGAAGGTTCCAGTTCTTCCATATCCTCACTACACTTGTTATTCCATGTAAATGGAATCATATAACATGTTCTCTCTTCTCTCTTTCTGCCTGGCTTCTTTCCCTCAGAATAAGGTGTGGGGGAAAGAAAGAGAGATCAGATTGTTACTGTGTCTATGTAGAAAGAAGTAGACATAAGAAACTCCATTTTGATCTGTATTAAGAAAAATTCTTCTGCCTTGAGATGCTGTTAATCTGTAACCCTAGCCGCAACCCTGTGCTCGCAGAAACGCGCTGTGTTGACTCAAAGTTTAATGGATTTAGGGCTGTGCAGGATGTGCTTTGTTAAAAATGTGTTTGCAGGCAATATGCTTGCTAAAAGTCATCGCCATTCTCCAGTCTCGAGTACCCAGGGACACAATGCACTGAGGAAGGCCGAAAGGACCTCTGCCCAAGAAAGCCTGGGTATTGTCCAAGGTTTCTCCCAACTGAAACAGCCTGAGATGTGGCCTCGTGGGAAGGGAAAGACCTGACCACCCCCCAGCCTGACACCCGTAAAGGGTCTGTGCTGAGGAGGATTAGTGAAAGAGGAAGGCCTCTTTGCAGTTAAGATAAGAGGAAGGCATCTGTCTCCTGCTCGTGGGAGGAATAGAATGGAATAGAATGTCTCCGTGTAAAACCAGATCATACGTTCTATTTACTGAGATAGGAGAAAACCACCTTATGGCTGGAGATGAGACATGCTGGTGACAATACTGCTCTTTACCACACTGAGATGCTTGTGTAAAGTCAAACATAAGCCTGGCCTATGTACATACCAAGGCACAGCACCTTTCCTTAAGCTTATTTATGACACAGAGTCCTTTGCTCACATGTTTTCCTGCTGACCCTCTCCCCACCATTACCCTATAGTCCAGCCACATCCCCCTCACTGAGATGGTAGAGATAGTGATCAATAAACACTGAGGAAACTCAGAGACCAGTGCCGGCGCGGGTCCTCCATATGCTGAGTGCCGGTCCCCTGCGCCCACTGTTCTTTCTTTATACTTTCTCTGTGTCCTATTTCTTTTCTCAGTCTCTCATCCTACCTGACGAGAAATACATATGCTGAGTGCCAGTCCCCTGGGCCCACTGCTCTTTCTTTATACTTTCTCTGTGTCCTATTTCTTTTCTCAGTCTCTCGTCCCACCTGACAAGAAATACCCATAGGTGTGGAGGGGCTGGCCCCCTTCATAAGGTTGTTGACATTTATCTATATTGGTGCATACATCTGTGATTTGTTCTTTTATTATTGTTGAGTAGTATTCCAGGGTATGATTACATTACAATTTGCTTATACATTCATCTACTGGTGGACACTTGGACTGTTTCCTGTTCAGGGTATTATGCGTAAAAGGGCCAAGAACATTCTTGTGAGACTTTGTGAGGACATATAGTTTCATTACTGTTGAATAAATATTTAGGAGTGGAATTCCTGAGTCATAAAATTCTTGCTTTTGTTTTGCAGTTCTCCTAAGGAGTCTTATAGTTCTGTAAAGCTTTTTACTCTTCAGAGATTCGATATTTTAAGTAACATGGTATGTTTCTGAAATGGAGTTTGCATTTTGGGGCATTTTCTATAGATTTATCATGAAGGACACGTGAAAACTCTGTTAGAAATATAAACACTCCACTACACGCAGGAATTTCCTTCTCATTCTTCCAATGGAATTGTCTTAATTTAGGTTGGATCAGAATTAGAATTTACATTATGATGACTATGTAAATAATATTTATAGGTCAGTCAGGTAGTATCCTATGATTTCTTTTCTTGCACAACGTTTTTTTTTTTTTTTTTTTTTTCTTTTTTCTTTTTTTCCTCAATAAGGGGTTGCCAAGGCTGCGTGGTGCAGTGGCTATTGATAGGTGCGATCATAGCTCACTGCAGCCTGGAACTACTGGGCTCAAGCGATATTCCTGCCTCGGTTTCCCCAGTAGCTGGGACTACACGTGCGCGCCATGGCGCCCGGGCTTGCACAACTTTTCATTCTCCCAGAGTCGTCTTATTTATTCCTTATAGAATTTTAGGCACTTGGTTCTCGGAAAGCCCCGACCTTAAGATTGATTCCACCTCCAGCAGCGGGAAGCCCTTCTCCTATCTTAAGAAAAATTCCCGCCTCCCACATTGGATTCCCTTTTCCTGTTGGCTCCTGGCTGCTCTCCTTACCTGCACTGGGCGGTGACCATGTCCCTCAAACGTAAATGAGGTTCCAGCTGGTCGCTGTTTTTTCACTTTCCGTTGACGGGGTGGACAATATCCTCGTACCTCAATTGCTTCTCCACACCCTTTTTGTCCTCAAAAATCTTCGTCTTCCCCATGTAGCTAGAAGCGTTTTCGCGGTATATGACTCAGGGTGCGATTGCTCTTTTTCGTCAGCGGAGACAGCGCTTTCACTTGTACGGACACCTAACTTCTAAGATGGCCGCGCCCATTGTGTCATTCCCGTCATTCTTTGTGCAAAGCGGATGACTTTTCTCCCCAGCCCGCTAAGGTGCACGTAGCCCATCCCGTGTTTGTCTTGGCTAAGCTCGAGCCTCTGAAAATAAATGAAACTTGAGCGCAGGATTTAGGTGCCAAAATATGGGGTTCTTCACGGTCCCGAGCCATCCGTGCATACTTGGGCAGAAAAGATCCACTTTACCTTCCGTACGTGCAGGATTCAAAGATGGCCGCCTTCAGTATCCATGACGAGAGGACGCGAACTTACTACCTCCCAGTCGTCCGTGCTCCGCACATCTGCAACTTCAGACCTTCGTCGGCCGCCGTAGGCCGGTTTGGAGGCTGTGGGAGGGCCCAGAAGTGGAAGAATTCAGGAAAAGTGCAGGCTCTGGGAAGTGTCGGTGGGTTCCCCGGAAAATCAGGTCTGTGTGTGGGTCCGTCTGTCAGGATGAGGGAAGGAGGGTGTCTGTGAGCGTCCGTTTAGTGCGGAGTCGTGGAGTTTGTGGGGGAAGCTGGAGCAAGTGGGAGTCGGGATATTGGGGTTGGGGCGTCTCCGGATTCAGCCCTGAGGGATCCCAGTGGTCAGTGGTCAGTCTGTCGAGCGCAACGCTTGGAAGTCCGTGATCAGGGTTTGGTGCCTTTACGGGTCACTCTGTAGGGCTCGGTGGTTGAGGACTGGAGTGAGGAGTGGTTTTTGTCAAGGAAAACGGTGTCTGCCGCGGATTCGGGATTTTATTTATTTATTTTTGAGACAGGGTCTCGCTCTGTCACACAGGCTTGAGTGCAGTGGCGCGATCGTGGCTCACTGCAGCCTCCATCTCCCGGGGCTCAGGTGATCTTCCCACCTCAGCTTTCCCGAGTAGCTTGGACTACAGGTGAGCGCCACCACGCCTATCTAATTATCTATCTTATCTATCTATCTATCTACTTATTGCAGAGATCTATCTATCTAGCTAGCTATCTGTCTATCTATCTATCTATCTATCTATCTATCTATCTATCTATCTATCTATCTACTTATTGCAGAGATGGGGGCCTCACTATGTTGCCCAGGCTGGTCTCCAACTCCTGGCCTCAAACGATCCTTTCACCTTGGCCTCCCAAAGTGCTGGGATTACGGGGCGTGAACCTTCGCTCCAGGCTGTAATTAGGATTTAATATGTGACTCAGTGAGGAGGAGCCTGGGTTCATGTGAACCTGGGTGTGTGGTCCAGGTTTTGGGATTAATCTTAGGGGGTGTGACCAGTGTTAGGGAGGTCTAGATGTGAGAGTCGTGGAGACGCTTGTGAAGGCTGAAGCCTTGGCAGCCGAGGCATGCTGATTGGTGTGTGTGTTGAAGTCCAACGGTAATTCCCTCTCAGTCCCTTTTAAGTTTCTCTGCAAGGACTAGTTTACAGACCTCATTTGACTTCTCACATCTCTCCTTCCTCTCATCCTGGTAAATAGGAAACCTTGGGGAAGATCAAAGATTAATCAAATCTGGCGCGGTGGTTCACACCTGTATTCCCAGCATTTGGGAGGCCAAGGTGGGCGGATTGCTTGAGCCTAGGAGTTGCAGACTAGCCTGAACAACACAGCCTGTCTCTCCAAAAAAATACAAAAATTAACTGGGTGTGGTGATACATGCCTGTAGTCCCAGCTACTCGCCAGGCTGAGGTGGGAGGATCACCTGACCCTTGGGAGGTCTAGGCTGCAGTGAACTATGATTGAGCCACTGCACTCCAGCTTGGGCAACAGAGTGAGGCCCTGTCTCAACAGAAAAAAAGAAAGAAAGAAAGAAGAAAAAAAAAAAAAAGGAAAAAAACAAAAAAAGAAAATGATAAGGTTTCTATTAAAGATAAAGATTTTCGTCTTTCTTCCTCAAGTTTACTGTGTGAATGTATGTATACACACACATAAATATTTTCTTTCAGGTTCTGACACAAGTAAAACAACATCTCTCTTATCCCAAAATGTGTTCCCCAGTAATGACTTTTGATAAGATTTTCGTATATTTTAATTTGTTTTCTATGCTTGATTTTTCACAATTCAGATAAACTACTGAAACATTGGTATAATTTGCCTTATTTTATATTATAACATTCTTATACTAAACATATCATACATGTTTTTGTTTAAAAACTTTTTTTAAGATTTCTGTAATAGTATACCATCAAGAGGCAAAACTGCACCATTGCGACTTGAATCACTAAGTATATGGATATATTTAGATAGAATTTTAAGACTTAAAAAGTTCACTTATCACTTTTAAGAACTGGTTATGATTCTGTGTTTACCCAAACATGTTTCTCCCTGACCCTTATCAGCACCTTGGTTTTTAATTTTTTTGCAATTGTAAATGGTGTATTTTTATTTTTGACCTTTCTGTTCTCTTCCAATTTACTCTTACATAGAAGAGCAATTAGTTTATAAAATATTTACATTGTTTTTGGTCACCTTACTGACAAGCTTCCCTGTTCTCCAGGTTACAAAACTTTTCAAGCATATAACACGATTTAAAGAACTTTACAATTGAATACCTGTATGCCTACCACCTGGATTTTATCATCATTTTATTGTGTTTCTTTTATTACATATCTATCTGTATATCATCCTTCTACTCATCACTACTCCATCTTTTTTTCTTTTTGTAGAGATGGCATCTCACTATGTTGTCCAGACTGATCTTGAACTCCTGACCTCAAGTGATCCTCTCTCCTTCGCCTCCTAAAGTGCTGGGATTCCAGGTGTGAGCCACCTCACCCGGTCACATTTATCCATCTTGTGAAATATTGCTTTGTTTTTTGGGGGCATTTCAAAGTAAGTTGCAGACATTCATACATTTGCCCCTAAATATTTTAGTAGGTTTATCATAACTAAGTAATTAAGTTCTACTGACAGCTTTTCCTAATTACAGGTCTATTAGTCACATACTGTATAATTCAGTGGCTTTTACTATGTGCAGTCATCACCAAAGTCAATTTTAGAACATTTTCATCACTTAAAAAGAAGCCCCGTACCCTTTTGTTGTACAACCACTACTTGCAGTCACTTCACATTCTCCCCTCCAGTAGACACTGGCAACTACCCATGTGCTTTCTGTCTCTTTTTGTAGAGTGCCTGATTCTGTCGCTGTTCGGGGCGCCACTTGTAACCAACCACAATCCCTGGTGGACTGAACAAAGCAGGGCAAATGCTAGAATAAAAGACAAAGATAAAATAGTATATTTGGAAGAAGGGGTGGGGGCACCTTGCCTCTAGTGGACAAGGGCCCTGAGCTTTACGCAGCCCTCTGTATTTATTAGCCAAAAGAGATAGAGAGAAAGGGGGGGTTTGGGGGGGAGGCAGGTGATTGTTGAGTAATTGTCAGTCGGGCCCTTTGGTTCACAGCAGGCTTGTGAGACTGCATTCCTTTAACAATAGGTTCTAGATGTCCCCATAGATGGCCTCAAGGAGCCTGGCGCCAGGGAGTGATGGCCCTCAGCAAACTTTCTGGGACAGGTACAGAAGCAAGTTTGCCCACATTCTGTACTTATGATAAACAGTTTGCTGTTTGATCATGTAGCCTCCAGTGGAATGCTGAGTTGATCACCATCCCTTTAGCCTTTTCAGCTCCCAACATTTTTTTTTTTTTTTTGAGACAGAGTTTCACTCTTGTTGCCCTGGCTGAAGTGCAATGGCTTGATCTCACCTCACCACAGCCTCTGCCTCCCGGGTTCAAGCAATTCTCCTGCCTCAGCTAGGATTACAGGCATGTGCCACCACACCCGGCTAATTTTGTATTTTTAGTAGAGACTGGGTTTCTCTATGTTGGTCGGGCTAGTCTCGAACTCCTGATCTCAGATGATCTGCCCGCCTTGGCCTCCCAAAGTCCTGGGATTACAGGCATGAGCCACCGCACCCGGCCAGTGTGCTTTCTGTCTCTATGCATTTACCTAATCTGGGTATTTTATATAAATGAAATCATATAACGTGACATTTAGTGTCTGATATTTTCTTTTTTTTGAGACAGGGTCGCACTCTGTTGCCCAGGCTGGAGTGCGGTGGTGTACTCTTGGCTCACTGCAACCTCTGCCTCCTAGGCTCAAGCAATTCTCGTGCCTCAGCCACCCTAATAGCTGGGATTATAGGCGCACACCACCATGCCTGGCTAATTTTTTAACTTTTTATAGAGATGGAGTTTCTTCATGTTGCCCAGGCTGGTCTTGAAGAGCTCAAAGCAATCTGAGCTCAAAGCAATCTGCCCGCCTTGGCCTCCCAAAGTGCTGGGATTACAGGTGTGAGCTCCTGCACCTGAGTGTCTGACATTTTCACTTAGTATAATGTTTTTGTGGTTGTGGATTGTGTGCTGGGCTACTCCTTTAATGATTAGCCAGGGCATCTATAAACCTGCCTTACCCTTCACTTCCTGCTTGTACTGAACCTGTAGACATCAACTAGAAGGAACGTTTAGAGTCTTCTCAGGTCTTTTCTCAGCCAACATACTCCCCTGTGCATGCATGTGGCTTTATAAATTCCTCAGTCTATACGAGTGCTTTTGAATGGCATGATTTCCCCAAGACACATTCCTCCTAGCTTTTTCTCTCAACCTTTCCTCTATGGCTCAAGTGTAATCTTTTGCCCCAGGCAGCTGAAGGTTGTTGTTCTGCTTCACAGAGTTTTTGAGAAATGCCCATTACTTTTCCTCCCTGAGTGAGTTCCAAAACAGGAAAGGGCCTGTTGCGTAGGTCCTTCAGGTAGTTAGAAAAGACAACAATCAATTTTTTATTTTTATTTTTGAGACAGGGTCTCACTCTGTCACCCAGGGTGGAGTACAGTGACGAGATCATGGATCACCGCAGACTCAAACTCCTGGGCTCAAGTGATCCTCCCACCTCAACCTCCCAAAGTGCTGGGATTACCGGCGTGAGCCACTCCACCCAGCTAAACAAAATTATTTGTGAATAAAGTCTATTCTGTTCCCTCCAGGGCCTGAATCCAGGATCCCACACTGGGGATGTCGGCCGCAATGTTTAAGACCATCACTGAGCTGGGGAGGGGGTGGAGCAAAGACAAGTAAAAATGGCACAGAACTTTCCTACTATTTTTAAGTCACCGTTTTGTTGCTGTTTGTTTTGTTTCTTTGAGATGGAATCTAGCTCTGTTGCCCAAACTGGAGTGCAGTGGCGTGATCTCAGCTCACTGCAACCTCCACCTGCCAGGTTCAAATGATTCTCCTGCCTCAGCCTCTTGAGTAGCTGGGACTACAGACATGTGCCACCACACCCGGCCACTTTTTATATTTTTAGTAGAGATGGGGTTTCACCATATTGGCCAGGTTGGTCTTGAACTCCTGGCCTCAAGTGATCCTCCTGCCTCCGCCTCCCAAAGTGCTGGGATTATACGCAGGCATGAGCCACCGTGCCTGGCCAGTTGCCTTTTTTTTTGACTCAACATTTGCTCTGTTGTTGTGAACCTTTGACTATTTTTCAGAGTCCTGACCAAGTTTTTGTTTCATTTTTTATTGTTTTTACTTGATTTTTTGATAGTTTTTTTTACTTGAGTTTTTGATTTTTATGTAGAGGGACGGACCCTTGGACCTACCTACTCTGCCATTTTTATTCAATGAGATTTTCCTCCACAGTATACTTGATTTTGTTTTTTCTGTTGTTGGTACTTTTAAAAAAGAAATAAGCTGATGCAAGTGCACCTTCAGTGATATCCTCTAATCCACCCCCTTTCCTCTCCTCCGTCTCTAGGGATAACTATTCTCTTGAACTAATTTCATATAATACATGTTTTATTAAATGTGTACATATCCAAAATTAATACATAGTCTTGTTTTGTTTTTTTTTTTTTTTAAATATACTTTTCTTTGTTGTTTCTTTCATATGATGATGATTTGTGAACATGTCCTGTTTGGTAATGATGCTTTAGAATTTATGGAAATTTTCTTTATGGCTTCCTATACATACCTGAGTTTTCAGGAAATGTACTCCTCCAGGGAAAGGACCTAGCCACTGGAGCAAACAGGTGTGATTACATTCTCCAGAAAGCTCGTACGGGTCAAAAATGAAGTAGAAGCTCTTCAGCTATTCCTGGGAAAGGGGCTGTGGAAGCTCATGGGAAAGGAAGCCTTGCCATTTGAAATGCATACCCTGGATGTCACTGAAATGTTGCATCCACCGCCTCCTGCCCAGGAATATTAGATCATTTGGGTTCCGCACCTTTCCACTGGTGGCATTCTAAGAAGAAAAGTGTGAAACATCTCTTGCCACAATTATGTGCTTCTGAGACTGCAGACGGAAGGGGAGCATTTGCAGCTGTGGGTTAGAGGATGAGTCAGTGCAGGCCCTGTGGGTTTGGAGCATGCAGGAGGGCCACCGGGAGCTTGTTACAATGATTCCATCCAGGTAGAAGGAAAGCTCAGGGTGACTCCATCCAGTTGATGCTCTCACCATGTGAGTCTCTTACTTGAGTTTTAGAATTGGGCCTAAAGAAAGCCTCTGGGGCTGCCACTCTCTGACCTGCTGCTTTCAGGCCAGGGGTGTAGCGTGCAGCTTTTCCATTTGTCTTTGTGCCTGTGTCACTGTTGGCAGTGCTGATTTCAGAAGGTCACATTATATGTCTGTGACACTGGCCATCTTCCATGATGAATGAAACTCCCTCAAGGTAGTGGCAAAGAGAGCTAAGATGTATGATGACGGTATGCGGTCCAAAGGAATTCAGAGTGGCTAAGGTCATGTTCTTGGAGACAGGCCGTGTCGGTTCAGATTTTACTTCTGCGTTTGGACAATATAGTTAAATCTGTAAGCCTTAGGTCAATATTGGAATGGAAAATAATGATTGATACCTTATAAGGATATAACGCAGTAGGTAGTAATGAGAAATAAGACAGTGCCTCTGCTTGGCTTAGTACATTTGTCTTCAAACTGAGGCATGCCTACATGTGAGGTGTATGATGACTTTTGACCAGTCATGTGGACATGTGGTTTTTTTTGTTTTTTGTTTTTTTTTTGAGACGGAGTCTTGCTCTGTAGCCCGGGCTGGAGTGCAGTGGCCGGATCTCAGCTCACTGCAAGCTCCGCCTCCCGGGTTCACGCCATTCTCCTGCCTCAGCCTCCGGAGTAGCTGGGACTACAGGCGCCCGCCACCTCGCCCGGCTAGTTTTTTGTATTTTTAGTAGAGACGGGGTTTCACCGTGTTAGCCAGGATGGTCTCGATCTCCTGACCTCGTGATCCGCCCGTCTCGGCCTCCCTAAGTGCTGGGATTACAGGCCCGGCTAGTTTTTTTGTAATTTTTAGTAGAGACGGGGTTTCACCGTGTTAGCCAGGATGGTCTCGATCTCCTGACCTCGTGATCCGCCCGTCTCCGCCTCCCAAAGTGCTGGGATTACAGGCTTGAGCCACCGCGCCCGGCCGACATGTGGTTTTAAAGAAATAAATATCCAAATCCTCACCTTCTCTGTCCTTTTTCTAAAACCTGATCTAAGAAGTCTCTCATACATATAGAATGTTATATTTTGTTGCCCCAGGATTTGTTGTTGCCCCAGGGTGGGTAAAAACTTCTGGGGCCCCAAATAAAGGGACAGTTAGAGATGGCCTTGCATTAAGGTGAGTACACAGCAGCAGTGACAGCACCTGGGCCTGCAGGGAATGTACACTCAAATAAATTTACTCTTCAGCCCGCAGTACCTAACTCCAGGGGCGAGACACTTCAAGTGAGGTGAGGAGGAGGTTCCAGGACCTGGATCCCATCTTTTGCAGGGATATAATTCACCAGAGACCAAGATTTCTAGCCAGAAATTGAGGGCAGCTCAAGGAGAGACTCCAGACACAGCATCCTACTTACTGGCTATTTCCCAGTAACGGAAGAAAATGATCAAGTCCCAGGTGACTTTTGGTTTGTTTTATTCTTTCCTTCATCACATGATTGATTTCTGGAAGACTTTAAAAGTCAATTGAATTAAGTGAAAAAGTATAAATTGGTAAACTAGGATTTGTGCATCAGTAAATTTAGATTTTAATTTCAACATCTAGGCAAAGTAGGATCGGGACTATATTGTTCACATGTGGTATCACAGAAAGATATTTGGTCTTTGTCTGCAGTTCCTGGCATAGAGCTCCTAAAACCCTTGGAATTTCCTGAATGATAAGGGTCTTTTTTTTTTTTTTTTTGAGACAGGGTCTCACTTTGTCACCCAGCTGGAGTGCAGTGGTGCAATCTCGGCTCACTGCAGCCTCGGCCTCCTGGGCTCAAGCAATCATCCCATCTCAGCCTCCCAACTAGCTGGGAGTGTGTGCCACCAGGCCCAGCTAATTTTTTGTATTTTTTTTGTCGAGATAGGGTTTCACCATGTTGCACAGACTGGTCTCTAACTCCCGAGCTGAAGCAATCTGTCTCCCTTGGCCTCCCAAAGTTCTGGGACTACAGCTGTGAGCCACTATGCCTGGTGCTCTTTTTTTCTAGTGAGACTACTCTCAGTGGACCCCTAGGTAGCTTCAGTATGGAGACTGGTTGCCAGAAAGACCAAGCCTTGATTAGAAGCTTGGAACTTTCAGTCCTACCCCTAATCTCCAGGGAGTAGAGAGAGGCTGGAGATTGAGTTCAGTCACCAGTGGCCAATGATTTATTCATCCATGCCTGTGTAACATAAAAACCCCTAAACAGCGGGGTTTGGAGAGCTGGGTTGGTGAACACATTGAGGTGCTGGGAAGTTTGTGCATGCAGAGAGAGCGTGGAAATTTATGCCCATACAGCACCATACCGTGCCCTGTGCAGCTTTTCCATTGGGTTGTTCCTGGGTTGTAAATAAACCAGTAATAGTAAAGTGCTTTCCTGAGTTCTGTGAGTTGTTCTAGTAGATTATTGAACCTCAAGGTGGGTTGCAGAAATCCCCACATTTGTAGCCAAGGGACAAAAGTCTTTGTAACCTGGGGACCTCACACTTGTGACTGCTGTCTGAAGTAAGGTTGGTCTTGTGGGACTGAAACCTTAACCTATGGGTCTTCCAGGAGTTGGTGTCAGAATTGAATCTTGGATTTGCTCTTTCACAAACTAAATGGGTACATGCTAGACCTTACCTATCCTCTGTATTTATTAATCTGTCTTTTATATATTGCATCATTCTGTCCTTTTGTTTCATTTTTGGTAGTTTTTTCAGATCTACTTACCAGTTCATTGACTATCTCTTCAGTTGGGCTGCTTACATGCCTGATAATGTAAATATAAATACTTCAAAACCATACGTGTGTGTATGGTTTTTGAATAATATTTTTTATTTTTTTATTATTTATTTATTTATTTTGAGATGGAGTCTCGCTCTGTCACCCGGGCTGGAGTACAGTGGCATGATCTCGGCTCACTGCAACCTTTGCCTCCTGGGTTCAAGTGATTCTCCTGCCTCAGTCTCCCAAGTAGCTGGGATTACAGGCATGTGCCACCATGCCTGGCTAATTTTTGTATTTTTAGTAAAGATGGGGTTTTGCCATTTTGGGCAAGCTGGTCTCGAACTGCTGACCTCAGGTGATCCGTCCACCTAGGCCTCCCAAGGTGCTGGGATTACAGGCGTGAGCCACCATGCCTGGCCTATTTATTTATTTTTTAAGCCAGTCATATTTAGCAGTAGGGGGTAATAATACTTAATTGTCTCTTGTTCTTTGGACATGTTTTGGAAAGATTCTTTTATTCCTCCTAACATATAAAATACACTTATTTATTATGTAATATCTTGTAGTGTTTGGGGTTTCTTCCTGGTTGATTCTGATAGTGCACATGAAGATTCATTGAAGATTCATGGTGAATAAAGGAGTATGCTTTATTCATCCTGATATTGCTAAAATATATTTAGTGTCTGGCAAATATGTGTTCCAAAAAAAAAAAGGATTAGCAAGAGGATTAAATGATTGGTTCTTACAGAAACTTCTGATTTGTTAAATGATTGATAATTACACAATTACAGAATATTTTGCTAGAGATAGATTTTGAATATAGATAGACTTTGGAGATGGATTTTTGCCTCTATGACAATTTTTTGTTGTTGTTGTTGTTGTTTTTGAGACAGAGTTTCGCTCTGTCGCCCAGGCTGGAGTGCAGTGGCGCGATCTCCACTCACTGCAAGCTCCGCCTCCCAGGTTCAAGCCATTCTCCTGCCTCAGCCTCCCGTGTAGCTGGGACTACAGGCGCCCGCCACCGCACCCGGCTAATTTTTGTATTTTTTTAGTAGAGACGGGGTTTCACCGTGTTAGCCAGGATGGTCTCGATCTCCTGACCTCGTGATCCGCCCGTCTCGGCTTCCCAAAGTGCTGGGGTTACAGGCGTGAGCCACCGCGCCCCGGCCAACAATGTATTTTTTTAAAAATCATAGCACCTAGATATATAGATGCAGACTATTTGGTGAAAATGAGCAGAACAATGTCCTTCACATTGCTTCCATATAAATAAGAGAAATACTTCATATTAAGCAGGACTCTCTTATTACAGGAATCACTGACCCTGGAGGATGTGGCTGTGGAGTTCACCTGGGAAGAGTGGCAGCTCCTCGGCCCTGCTCAGAAGGACCTGTACCGGGACGTGATGTTGGAGAACTATAGCAACCTGGTGTCAGTGGGTGAGGACAGCTGCCCTGTGTCACTCAGATAGTACCCAGTCAAAGGCGTTTGCTTTCTCAGCTTTCAAAAGCTGTGGAGGGCCTGTGGTGCTCTCAAGTGGTAGATCTGTCCTCTCCGTAGCCCCAGATAAAAGAGTATAATGTGCCCCCTTCAGAGGGAAAATCCCTTTGCTTTGCAGACACATAAATTACATAGTTCCTAATACAGAACATGGTCCCATGTTGATAGACCGCAGCTTAATTCAGGGAGCCTAAGTTGTCTATCATTTCCTATGAACAGGGTATCAAGCCAGCAAGCCAGATGCACTCTCCAAGTTGGAACAAGGAGAACCATGGATGGTAGAAAATGAAATCCACAGCCAAATCTGTCCAGGTGAGTTCAGGGTGAGAGCTAGCAAGGAGGGTGGCTAGCAAGTCACATGATAGTTGTTCAGCGGTGTCTGAGCTGTCAGGGCATCTGAGGCTGTGTGGACAGGGCTTCCATGTATCCCTCTCCCTATACAAAAGCTCTTTCTCCTTCAGGTGTTTAGAGGAACATCTACCTCTTTATCTCCTCTTGGATTTCATCGCTGTTTACTTTTTATTTTATTTTATTTTTTGAGATGGAGTCTCACTCTGTCACCCAGGCTGGAGCCCAGTGGTGCAATCTCGGCTCACTGCATCCTCTGCCTCCTAGTTGAAGCAATTCTCCTGCCTCAGTCTCCCCAGTAGCTGGGATACAGGCACCCACCACTATACCCAGCTAAGTTTTTTTGTATTTTCAGTGGAGATGGGGTTTCACCAAGTTGACCAGGATGATCTTGAACTCCTGACCTCTGGTGATCCACCTGCTTCGGCCTCCCAAAGTGCTGGAATTATAGGTGTGAGTCACCACGCCCGGCCTCATCACTCTTCTTTTAATCTAGGTTTGATTTGTTTTTCTCAAGGTTTCTTCCTTTTTAGGATTCTCAAATCTCATCATTTCTTGTTCCCCCATCAGAGCATCTCTACCTGTTCATTATACTTCTTTTCCTATGAAATTCCTCCTTCCATGTCTGTCTCCAAAGAGTGATCTTGAATATCAGCTCTCTCTCCTGGCCACTATACCTTTCTGCCCCTTTAGATAATGTTGATTTTTTTTCCTAAGGTCTTCCCACACTATCTTGGACTCTGTGCCCCCTTAGTAACTTGGTCTGTTGCTTTGCATGTATTTGCTTCCTTAGCTTCTCTTTTTTCTCCCACTCTGAGGTCCTCCAGAGGTTCTGTTTTCCATTTATTTTGCTCTGTTCTCATATCCTTTAAAAGTTTCCTTCATTCTGATGACTTAAGTTCTTGTTCTCTATGGAGACTCTCAGATTGACATCTCCCTTAATATTTCCTAACTTACATGTTTGTACCATATTTTTTACCCACTTGCATGTCAACTCCTTGAGTTGACCTGGCCACCATAGGGCTACCTTTAAACTTCCCTGCCTCCTCAGCTCCCGTATTTAATTGATTTTTGAAGAATTCTCATTCTCTTTCCAACCCAAACCAGATTACTAAACCTCATGCCTGCTTTGCTTCAATTTCCTTTTGGAATCATTAATTCTGCCCATTATTTAGTTTCTCTTAAATTATATTGCTGGGCTTATTCCCTTAAAGCTTTTCTGTTCTTACCATAGTCTGATGGCATTGAGTCCCAGTGAATCATAGCAGTCATATAAGATGGAAATTTCTCATCTGTCAAGTGATATTCTAGTTGAATCTCCATGATATGTTATCATCTTGCCTACACAGAGTTTGCTTTCCTTTTCCTTTTCATAAATTCAAAGCCAACTATATTTAAAGCGCTACATTTGAAGTAGTCTCCCCAGTGTGTCCCATACTTTCCTTGTTTCATTGCCTTAAATATTTTTTGATAGCCTATTACATACGGGCCCTGACAGCTGCGAACATCTAAAACAACAACAAAATTCTTCTTGGAGATTACATGCTAAAAGGAAGAGGCACGAAATTAATCAAAATGGATAAATGTCTTGTGGTGAAAAATGCTGGGAAGATCAATAACAAAGCATAATGAGGGATGCCGGGAGTGGGAATGGGTCTTTGGTGAGATGCCTTTGAGCAGCTGTATGAGAGATGTGAGTACATCCCTCAGGTGAATTACCTTCCAAGTAGACAAAATAGCAGGTCCAAAGGCCCAAGGCAGGTGTGCGTTTGAGGAACTTTAAGGAAGCCTGTGTGAATACAGAAGAGTGAACAAGAGCGGCAGTGGTTGGAGATAATATGGAGGTAAAGACAGTGTGATGGGATCTGGAGTTTGGGATAGCAGGTCTATGACCTTTCAAGGACATTTTAATGACTTGATTTTTTTTTTTTTTTTTTTGAGACAGAGTCTCTCTCTGTCGCCAGGCTGGAGTGCAGTGGCACGATCTTGGCTCATTGTAACCTCTGCCTCCGTGATTCAACCTGATTCAAGCAATTCTCCTGCCTCAGCCTCCCGAGTAGCTGGGACTACAGTTGCATGCCACCATGCCCAGCTAATTTTTGTATTTTTAGTAGAGACGGGGTTTCACCATGTTGGCCAGGATGGTCTTGATCTCCTGACCTTCTGATCTGCATGCCTCGGCCTCCCAAAGTGCTGGGATTACAGGCGTGAGCCACCACATCTGGCCATGACTTTTTAAAAAAAATTATGAGATGAGGAAACATGAGGGAGTTTTGAGTAGAACAGTGACATGACATCATTTATATTTAAAAGGATCACTTTGACTACTTTGTAGAAAGTATACAGGAGAAGGCAGAGGTTGAAACCTGAAGTCCACTTGGGAGGCTATTGCTATAGTACCAGACAGAGTGATTCTCTTCCACCTAGGTAGAGGGGGTGAGTGTTAGTTAGTTGCAGAATACAGGAGTCCCCTGTTATCCGCAGTTTCTCTTTCTACAGTTTCAGTTACCTGCAGTCAACTATGGCCTGGAAATGTTAAATGGGAAATTCCAGAAATAAACAATTCTTAATCACATTGCCCACCATTCCAAGGAGCATGAAATCTTGCACCATCTTGCTCTATCCTAGAACAGGAATCATTTTTTTGTCCAGCATATCCATGCTGTGTACCCTACCCACCTGTGTCGCTTAGTAACTATCTTGATTATCAGATCAACTGTCAAGGTATCACAGCGCTTGTGTTTAAGTAACCCTTGTTTTACTTAATAATGTCTCCAATGCTCAAGAGTGTGATGCTGGCCTATTGTTATAATTCTTCTATTTCATGATTTGTTATTGTTAATCTCTTGCTCTGCCTAGTTTATAAACTTTATTATAGGTGTATATGCACTGTATAGGAAAAAACATAATGGATATAGGGTTTAGTATGATTCAAAGTTTCAGGCATCCATGGTGGGGGGGTCTTGGAACATATCGCCCATAGATGAGGGATTACTATATATTTATAAAGGAGGACATATGGAATTTCCTATTGAAGTAGACAAAGGGTGTGAGACAAACATACAAATGAAAGATGATAGTAAGGTTTCAGGCATGAGTGTGAGCAGGAATTAACTTGCCATTTCCTGAGAAATTTACCTTGTTTATATACTGACTGCTTTTATTTTTTGTTTTCTTTGTTTAAATTATAATGGTTTATTCTTATCCAAGTGACAATAGACATATCTACTTGGAGTTTTTTAAACCAGGGAAATAGTGTGGTCAGTAGAGCCAGCCTGTACAAAGCTATTTGTGAAACAGTTCTATTCCATGCTCATGCAAAGATTTATTGTTCTCTTCTTTCCTAGAAATCAAGAAAGTTGACAATCGTCTACAGATGCACTCACAAAACCAAAGATGTCTGAAGAGAGTGGAACAATGCCATAAACATGCATTTGGAAACATCATTCATCAGAGGAAAAGTGATTTTCCTTTAAGGCAAAATCATGATACATTTGACTTACATGGGAAAATACTGAAATCAAATTTAAGTTTAATCAACCAGAACAAAAGGTATGAAATCAAGAAGTCTGTGGGGGTTAATAGAGATGGGAAATCCTTCCTTCATGCCAAGCATGAACAATTTCATAATGAAATGAACTTCCCCGAAGGTGGAAATTCTACGAATACAAATTCACAGTTCATTAAGCATCAGCAAACTCAAAAGATAGATAAACCCCATGTATGCACTGAGTGCGGGAAGGCTTTCCGCAAGAAGTCTCGCCTCATCTATCATCAGAGAGTTCACACTGGAGAGAAACCTCATGGATGCAGTATATGTGGGAAAGCCTTCTCCAGAAAGTCCGGGCTCACTGAACACCAGAGAAATCACACGGGAGAGAAACCCTATGAATGCACTGAATGTGACAAAGCATTCCGCTGGAAATCACAGCTCAATGTGCACCAGAAAATTCATACAGGAGAGAAATCATATATATGCAGTGATTGTGGAAAAGGCTTCATCAAGAAGTCTCAGCTCATTAATCATCAGAGAGTTCATACAGGAGAGAAACCACATGGATGCGGCCTGTGTGGGAAAGCCTTCTCCAAAAAGTCCAGGCTCACTGAACACCAGAGAACTCATACAGGAGAGAAACCCTATGAATGCACTGAATGTGACAAAGCATTCCGCTGGAAATCACAGCTCAATGCGCATCAGAAAGCTCACACAGGAGAGAAGTCATATATATGCAGTGATTGTGGAAAAGGCTTCATTCAGAAGGGCAATCTCATTGTACATCAGCGAATTCATACTGGAGAAAAACCCTATATATGCAATGAATGTGGAAAAGGCTTCATCCAAAAGGGTAATCTCCTTATTCATCGACGTACTCACACTGGAGAGAAACCCTATGTATGCAATGAATGTGGGAAAGGCTTCAGCCAGAAAACATGCTTAATATCCCATCAGAGATTTCACACAGGAAAGACACCCTTTGTATGTACTGAGTGTGGAAAATCCTGTTCACACAAGTCGGGTCTCATTAACCACCAGAGAATTCACACAGGAGAAAAACCCTATACATGCAGTGACTGTGGGAAAGCCTTCAGAGATAAATCATGTCTCAACAGACATCGGAGAACTCATACAGGGGAGAGACCCTATGGATGCTCTGATTGTGGGAAAGCTTTCTCCCACTTGTCATGCCTTGTTTATCATAAGGGAATGCTGCATGCAAGAGAGAAACGTGTAGGTTCAGTCAAATTGGAAAATCCTTTCTCAGAGAGTCATAGCTTATCACATACAAGTGATCTCATACAGGATAAAGACTCTGTTAACATGGTGACTATGCAGATGCCTTCTGTGGCAGCTCAGACTTCGTTAACTAACAGTGAGTTCCAAGCAGATAGCAAAGTAGCCATTGTGAGCCAGCCTGTTGCCAGAAGTTCAGTCTCAGCAGATGGTAGAATTTGCACAGAATAAAAACCTTATGAATGCGGTGAATGTGGTAGTGCTTTCAGTGATCAATTACATCTATGTCACAAAAAACACACAGGAGCAAAGTGTGATACATTCAAGGTGGAAAACCCTTGAGTAAAACCTTATGGCTGATAAGCATATACTCAGAGAAAAATAGTATGAAGTACAGACTGGGAAAGTCTTTTATGGGAAGATAGATCCTCTCATCAGTGACCATAGATCACATCATCAGTGAGCTTATAGTTGGCAGAAATATAATGATCATGGAAAAGTCCTTGTTCAGAAATAATACCCTAGTAGGTATCAGGGGGTTTTCACAGGAGAGAAACTGTTGGAAGATCTTTGAAGGCTGTGAATGTGGCAGGGTTGCTAGTGGTACATTCTGCCTTATATTCAGAGGAAATCATAGAAATAAAACTATGAAAATAGTAACTAGAACATCTTCAGCAAAATATGAAAGAACACATGAGCAAATAAGTCCTGTGAAAAGGAATATTTTAGAGATTTCGATCACAAATCTAACATCATTATACAGCAGATAATATACAGGATGTGTATTTTAGGACAATATACCTTGAATCACTAGTTGATATGTCAATGACTAATTAAAAGGGGTTGTCAGTGTTACACATCATTGGTTAAATTTGTAACACAATGTACCTCTTCCCTCTTTTTTGATATGTCTTCTATTCCCAACCAAGATCATTATATGATTAGCTCTTGTGTTTCTTTGATTCCAAATTTCTTCACTTGTTATTTCAGACTACTGAAGCTCTTCAAAAGGAAAAATGTATTTAATTTAATAATGTAACACAAGTTTGGATCTGTTTATAAATATCACCCCAGAGGAATGAAGTTCAAAACTTGTGAGTAACCAATTGGCCATGCTCTTAATTTAGAAGGTAGTCCTCATCCTAACCCTGTGGTTTGTCTTATTGTTGGCATAAACACCATTCAGAATAGTTTGAATGATCTATTTTCTTTACCTGAAACTGTTCCTTTATGTAGGAACCATGGATGATGGCAGTGGGAAACAAAGCAAAATTTCAAGCCAGCATTTTTTTAAAAGCTGGATTATATGCACATAGCTATTCTACCCTCCAGCAGCTGCAGTTAAAAAATGCATATGCCTGTATCAGTTGAAAGAGACGTACAATATAAAGATCAAATTGTCCTGATAATTTCTTGTTCAGGGGACATATTTGGAGTGGGAAGGGGAAAGGACTCAATTTTCCTTACATAAAACAGGATACGAATACTTTTCTAAAAAGTGTTCCTGTCTTATCTCTGCCTAAATTATAAATTCCTTGATAGTTTGTAGGCAATTGTGTATACCACAGCAGATACCAAAATATAAATTAGTTATATATAGATTTGGAAGATGAATGAAGGTGCATGAATAACCCAGTGGACAATTGATCAAAATTACTTTTGCCATTGAAGGAAAGGAGCTAACCAAAAAAAATTCTAAGGATTAGTATTATTCTTAAAAAACACTTTTTTAAAAATCCTGAATAGAGACTCATTTCTGTCACAAGAGGGGCAGAACAGAGAAGGAATAGGATTCACAGAATAACCCCAATTAAAAGAACAAAATAACTTCATTCTCTAAAAATAAAGGACAGCATGTAAGATGGGTAAAGGTGAGATCCTTTTGGATATCTTGGATAAGAACCCTTAAATTTGTCTACAGATGTTTCACCTTGGAGAGTTGCTACTGTTTGAAAGATCCTGACTCCTCTGTGGTATGCTGAATTGGAACATATGATTTATCTTCATCATTCCTTCTCACCTGGGGTTAAGACCCTTGTCCTCTCCTGTACTCAGAGTTCCTTCCTTTGATCTAATAAAGATATATCCATGTTAGAAACAGTCCTGCTCACAAGGAAAAATAAAGTGGAAATTTGCCATAAAGTGGCTGCCTCACAATTGAAACCCAAACTCTGGGTTATTGGGTGATCACAACAAATAGTTTTTGAGCATCTGCACGGTGGCAAACACTTGTACACACAGGATACACTGATGAACAAAATATAAAGTAGTGGCCTGTAACAGGAGGGATTCAGTACAGATGCTCTGCAATTAAGAGTATAAGAAATGGACTCTTCTTCAACCTGGACTTCAGATTCTCTCTACTTCTTGCCTTGTGAATCTGCACATCCTATCATAGCAGTCGTAGCATCTTCTTACTCCCTGAACACATAAATCAGGGTGCGCCACTGGGCTGCCCAGGCCTGTCCTTGGGACCAGGTGTTGAACTCACTTCAGAAGTTGGCATCCCAGCTAAATAAATTTAACTGGGTCCTCAATTCCAGGTTGCCTCTTTCAAAAGGCTTATCGCCCCTCGCCTTCATAAAAATTGTAGCCGACATTTATTAAGCGTGCCGTTTGCCAAATGGTGACTGCATTATTTTAATAATTTAAAAAATTTAAACAGTTGTTTGTTTTTGTTTTGTTTTGAGACAGGGTCGTGCTCTGTCGCCCAGGCTGGAGTGCAGTGGCCTGATCATGGCTTACTGAAGCCTTGACCTGCTGGCCTAAAGCCATCCTCCCACCTCAGCCTCCAAAGTGGCTGGGACTACAGGTGCGTGCCACCACACTCTGCTAATTTTTGTATTATTATTATTATTTTTTTGTAAAAGCAGGGTCTTGCTATATTTCCCAGGCTGGTCTCAACTCCTGGGCATAAGTGATCCTCCCAACTTAGCCTCCCAAATTGCTGGGATTACAGGTTTGAGCCATGACACCCGGCCTCTTCAGTAATTTAATGCTCTTATATGCTCCATTTCCATCTTCATGTGTTTTAGGGAAATATTTGATTAAATCTGAGGCCTCATTCCTTTTTCCTTATTACAGGTAACCACACACTGTATGCAGTTGCACGTGGGCATTGATCCTCATAGAGATCGCCCCCGTATTTGGCCTCAAGACAATTCTCGGCTAGACTAGCCTTGCCTATTCTTTTCTGCATCCCTTGAAGGAGATTCACAATGTCCACAAATTTGGTCCACTCTGTGACCGCTGTCCCCCTATTCCCCTTCAGCCAATTCGCCTTTGGCACACCTTGTTGGTCCTGAAGAGGCCCTCAGAAATACGATTCCGGCTTAAACTCCCAACAGATTGTATTTTCTATTGAATGGAAACTGACACCTCCTAAAATGAACTGCAGCCATGATGCTTCTTCCTAACGGCTCAGTATGGAGTACAGCGCGCGGCCATCTTATTTTTTTTGCTCTGTCTGTTAAAAGTTTTTATAATTTACTGATAATTTATCCAGTTTGCGCAGTGACTGAGGTGCCCTGAAATTAATTCACGGTCTTCCAACGCCGTGGTAACAGCCCTTCCTTCCGGGTTCTCTGGTGGGAGGCGCCGAGATGGGCGTGGCCATGATACGTCACAATGCGAGACCGAGGGAGGAACTCTGACGTCTGGGAAGGCCTGGTTTCCCCACCAGATGCCAAGGGCCCTCAAAGTCCCTAGCAACGGCTGCAGAGGGAGATGGAAGTCGTTTTGGACGCAGGCTCAGTGTTTGGTCCCAGCGTTAGGTGGAGTCCGGAGAGACTCAGGATCAGATGGGTTGGGGTCTGGATGTGGCTCTAAGTGAAAGGCCTGTGGGGGTCAATGAAGGGGAGCCCCCTGTTCTGAGACCATGTGGGACCCTGCGTCCTGGGGTTCTCCCTGGGTTTACTCATTGGAGAAGACTGGCTTTGGTGATAGGGCTCCTGGTGGTCAGTAACTAAGAGACTGGAAGATATTAATGATCGATAGCCCAACTGTCAAGGTTTATGGTCGTTGAGGGAATGCCGTGGGAATCAGTGGTTGAGAAACGGAGTAGGAAAGTGTGTGTCAATGAATGACCTTGGTGTCCAGTCTGGGTTTGCAATTTAATGTGATAGAGAAGCTTGGGGCTGGAGAAGGTTTTAGTGAAAGAGGTTTCAGATTTAATTTGGAGTCAATGTTTGAGGAGGCCTGTACATGTCTGTGGTTTAGGGGCCTGAGGAGGCTGGAGCTTTGCAGGCCCAAGGGCCCTGGAGAGTGGGTGGGTTGAGGCTTAATAATTGACTGCTGGTTACAGTCGTGATTAAAGCTACATTTACCTAGTGGAGCTACATGCAGTTCAGTTCTTCAAGTCTAAGTCTGTCTTAAAAATAACAGTGAAAAACATTTCCCTTCCTATATTCATATCACTGTCTACAAATTTCTGGACGAGGTGATTATGAGTTTGCTACTAAAGTCGACTTTTTTTTCTCTCTAGTTCCTAACTTTACCGTGTCATTTCATAAATATTTTCTTTCAGATTTATTCCAACACAAGAAAAAAATCTCTATTACCCACACTTCTGATTCTTATTGAGGAACATTTTTTTTTGTTGTTTCTTACTAGTTTTCACAATTGCAATACTTTGGGTAAATATTTGATTTCATCACTTAAATTCTCATCACATACATACATGTATGTATGTATATATAGTATATATCTCTCTCTCTTTATATATATCTATGTATCTATGTATCTGTCTCTATCTAACTGTCTATCTATCTATCTATCCATCTATCTATCCATCCATCCAGAGGGAGTCAGTCTTGCCCTGTCTCCCAGGCTGGACTACAGTGGTACCATCAGCTCACTGTAACCTTCAACTCCTAAGTGTAAGGGATCCTCCTGGCTCAGCCTCCCAAGTAGCTGGGACTACATATAAAATTTTTCAATGGCTGTATCATATCAGAAGGTTGTAGCAGTGGCTTAGTAAATGGAGTCACATTAAATGTTTGCCTTAATTAGGATGGAATTGACAAGTATAAAATATTCAATTCTATTTCTATATTTTCTCTCTATATATAACATTCTCATTCTCTAATTACCCAAGTTCTTCCATTCCCACCCCAAGATTTGTGGTTCACTTTTTTATGTCCTAGACCTTATGGTTACATTTATTCTTAAGTAGCTTATACTGTTTTTTCATAATTCCTCTAGAAGAGGAAGTCATTTTTTAAAAAATTGAGACAGAGTCTCACACTGTTACCCAGGCTAGAGTGCAGTGGTATGATCTTGGCTCACTGCAACCTCCACGTCCCAAGCTCAAGGGATTCTCCCACTTCAGTAGCTGGGACTACAGGCACTCGCCACCATGGCCAGCTAATTTTTTTATTTTTTGTAGAAATTAAGTTTCACCATGTTGCCGAGGCTGGTCTTGAACTCCTGAGCCCAAGCGATCCACCTGAGGCATTACCTGCCTCAGACTCCAAAGTGCTAGGATTACAGGCATGAGCCACTGCTCCTAGTCAAGCATTTCTTAAATCCAAATATTTGCTGGAGTATGCCTACCTAATGCATGTATTAAGGCCCATTCCTCTGAGAGTCTGGGTTGATTCGATTTGGAATACAATCCCTGATAGTGTTGATAAAATTCTCTAGGGGATGCTGTTGTGACATACTTGGTAACAGCCACAGCCTAATATATGTTAAAATGGATGGAATTTTGTGAGAAACAAGAAAATTTCTTCTAATAGTGACGATTTTTTGTAGAAAAAATATGAAACATCTATATTTAATACAGGATTTGAACACAAGGTATTGTTAGAATTCTAGGTTGTGTGAAGTTACATGTCAAGATGTTACTGAAATGCCAAGGGTTCAGTCTAGGTCCTGTTCCTTGCCACACACACAGAAAGACAATCACTGAGATAATGAGTATTGTGAGAGAAGAAAGCCTTTTTTGGGTAACATCAGGTGGGAGAGGAAGATAAATATCAAATCTGTCTCCCCACAACTA